GGGCTGAAGCCCCCTTCCCAGACACCCTGGCCTGAATTGTTTTCCTATAAAAAAACAAAGCGCATTGAGAGTAAAATATGATATAAATCTAAGTCCTTTTTTATTTGAACCTGGACCCCAGCTGAGTTTCCTGTCCATTTTACAATTAGTCGAGACTAAATACTATGGCTTAGACTAAATACATACATGCAGACACTAATTAGTTCTCTTGGTCAGTGTAGATGCAGTTTATGCGCCTTGATAATACTAAATGAAAGAGCAACCTATTCGTAGTACATCTCAATACATTTACTTTTGAACTATAAATAGCCCCCTATTGGATATTGAATGTGATGATGATTTTTTCGTATATATATTCAGCAATTTTTTTAATACTGAAGCGCAAGTGATGTAAATTTAAATTATTTTAATCTTAAAGCACGCTTTTTAGGGTTAATGTTAAGCATACCTTACCCTCTGGAAAGTTCATTAAAAGTCATAGCTTTCCCATACATGTAGATTAAGTTTTTTTCTTCCAGTTTTGCAGAAAGATCATTTCTGTGAAAATTATGTAGACACTTCAGTTTCAAAATGTGCTAATAAAATGCACCAAACGCCATAAGGTAACATATGAATATCATTATTTTCCTGGGAGAACCGCCAGACCCTCCCTCATCAAAAGGGGGAGTTTGGTCATTTCAAACATACCCCCCCCCCCTACGAATTCTTATGGCCCGGCCCTGTAATAACAGAGTAAGTCTATTCGAATGATATTCTCTCCCTTCACAAATCTTGACCTATTTCATACCCTGCATAATATGTGTGCACTGTTATAAATGCCTTGCCTCTTGAGGAAAATATTACTTCCTTATTAATGTTCTGTGTTACCAAACACGGAACAAATAAAATTTAAAATATTGCAAGGTCTCATGTCACTTGTATATGAAAAAAAGACTGGAGCCTGATGGAAACATTAGCCCAACTGTCCTTCTATCCTTCTCATCTTGGTGTCATGAGTGTCCGCGTTGGCATACCATTTTTGTTACAGGTTTTGGGGCAACGTTCAGCTTATAAAGCATAGAACTTCATAAACAATTAAAATATTTACTTGTAACTTCACAAATATTATTGAGATCGTCCGTAATAAAATTTGCAAAGCCAATAACTCTAGCATAGTCTTTTGACAGAACAAATTGACAATTTTGAAACAAATTAATCTTGCTTATTTCTTTCAATTTTATTGTATATGTTTTCAGGATTATAAATGGAGGTTACTCTCTGAACCCCATAAATCTAACAATCATTTTAACAGAGTAATAGTCCTTTTTTAGGTCAGTAAAAAAATCTTAATTTAAAACTTGCAAGAAAATCAATCTTTAGAACAACAAATATATACTTGTGGTATTCATTTAAACATATAACATCAAATTTCAAAAGAAAACAGAAGATATTCATATGAAACCTTTACATGTCTTTAGTCATAATTAGAAGTTACTATTTAAGCTCCATAAAACTCAGGCATAGAATTTTGCTGCCCTTTGTAAATAATAAAAAAACCTTGGTCCTTTTTTGACAGCATTTATGCAATTCCCTTTACATGTCCTTCGCACCCAGTGCTTTCAGCACTTTGATTTATCCTTAGTATAAGAAATCTAACCGAAATATTTCTGTCCATCACCAGCATATATTATCTTTATTATCAACTGGTTGGTTAAGCCTTTTTTACATAATCTTTATCATGTAACATCCTCTGTACACGCCAATTTTAAATCAATGAGTAGCAAAATTGGAAATTATCATTTTAACTGCATATTATATATTTTGCAAAAAAGAGATGGCCCAGTGGCCCATCAGAATGTTACTGGGGTTCTAACAGGTAGGGGACTTATGTACGGAAACGTATAGCGACCACCCCTATATGTTAGTTAAAACAGAAGTTTTGACAATTTATTTAATACATACTATATACCTAACCAATTTTTATAAACTTACTTGATCTGAAATATTTATCTAATAATATCTACAGCCCCTGCATGTTGGTAAAACATAATTTAAGACAATTTATTTAACACACGATATATATTTAACCAATATTTACTTTGTTATTTGATCTTGAATATATATCTTTTACTCAATCTGCTGTTAATATTGCTGGATTCAAATTTATGTGACATTTTCCTGTTCATTTATATGTATTAGTTTTATATATTGAGGTTTTTAATTCGCATACCTCTATCATTATAAAATATAATATAACATATTTTACAATTTATATTTGATAATGAGGACAGAAAAAATTTCGCACATTAGAAAGCTTTTTAAAAATTTGATTGGCTTTTTGTTGAGGCTCTTTGTATTCCAAAGATTAAGGAATGTTTAAATAATTGTGCTTCAGATAGTGTTACATGATAACGATTATAAAAAAAGACAAACTCTGTTAGTTGTTAATAAGCATAAAATAAGCCAGTGAAGTAGTACCTGATGTAAATTAGTTATCATAGAAATCATTATATTTTTGTAAGATATATAATATATATAGCTTAAAACGATAACTTCCGACAAATTTACCATTTTAAATGTATGTACAGAGGATGGTACATGATAAATATTATATAAAAAGGAATATTCGACCACTTGATGTTATTATAGGAACATAGATCCCAAAGCTTAAGCGATATTTCGTCTTATATGATGTGTGACACGAGAAAAGTCAAGACATTTGTATTTGATAAAGGAAGCAATTAAATCAAGTTATATTGTAAATCATATATAATACGTATTTTTTTGTAATCTATCGTACGTTTTTATCTTATAATTCAAGGTAAACTACTTTTAACTTTTTGACAAAATTAAAAAAATAAAACAGTTACATCTTTTTAAATATGTAATTCTTTCCTCAAATTATATTTGCATATAACAAACATACTATAAAACTGTAAAAAAAAGTCATTTGATATATATCATATATGGATGGTCGCTATACGTTTCCGTACTTATGTATTGCTTGCAATACTATGATGATTTCTTTTGTAAGTTTCTATAAATGGATAGTCTTATATGATGTGTGACACGAGAAAAGTCAAGACATTTGTATTTGATAAAGGAAGCAATTGAATCAAGTTATGTTGTAAATCATATAAAATACGTAAATTTTTCGTAATCTAACGTACGTTTTGTATCTTATAATGCCAGATAAACTACTTTTAACTTTTAGACAAAATGAAAAAAAAACAACACTTACATCTTTTTAAATATGTACATTTGTGTATTTCTTTCCTCAAAGCATGTTTACATTTAACAAACATATTATAAAACTATAAAAAAGTCATTTGATATATATCATATAAGGGTGGTCGCTATACGTTTCCATATGTCACACATCACATAAGTCTATCCATTTATAGAAACCTACAAAAATGCGGTCAAAATCAAATGTTATGGTGATGAAGCGCACGATAAATTAAATTTTTTTTTAGGAAAAAAAATTCTTTTTTTGCAAAATATATAATATGCAGTTAAAATGATAATTTCCACCAATTTTGCTACTCATTGATTTAAAATTGTCGTGTACAGAGGATGTTACATGATAAAGATTATGTAAAAAAGGCTTAACCAACCAGTTGATAATAAAGATAATATAATTATGCTGGTGATGGAGAGAAATATTTCGGTTAGATTTCTGATAAGACAACCGACCTGCCATATTTGCGCGCGTAATGGAGGAGTCACATTCCTTAATCTTTGAAATACAGAAAGCCTCATTCAAATGGTTCATATATAATCTTTAAAAAAGCTTTGTGTTGTGCAGGATTTTTCTGTCCTCATTATCAAATATAAATTGTAAAATATGTTAAATTATATTTCATAATGATAGAGGTATGCGAATAAAAAACCTCAAGTATTTATAACTAAAACATATAAATGAACTGAAGAATTTCACATAAATTTTAATCCAGCAATATTAACAGCAGATTGAGTAAATGATATATATTCATGATCAAATAACAATGTAAATATTGGTCAGATATATATCGTGTGTTCTATAAATTGTCTCAAATTCTGTTCTTACCAAAATGCAGGGGCGGTAGATATAACTAGATAAATATTTCAGATCAAATAAGTTTGTAAAAATTGGTTAGGTATATAATATGTATTAAATAAATTGTAAAAATATCTGTTTTAACTAACATGTAGGGGTGGTCGCTATACGTTTCCGTAGTGACACGAGAAAAGTCAAGACATTTGTATTTGATAAAGGAAGCTACGGAAGAGTATACTGACCCCCCTTATATATTTTATATGCCTGTTAAAAATAGGACGATGCATGATACCAACATAGTTCGTAATGGTTTTTTAAAAGTTATTAATATAGTTCATATTGATCTTTTATGTTTTTTGGCTACTATACTGTTAAAGATACGTATTACAAACTTAAAACTTTCTTAAGACCTTACTTTTATTTATAAGAAATATGTTTTTTCTTCTACGCCTGGTTTGTCTCAGTGTACAGTATGTAATTAGTGTTATTGTATATTCAGCAGCATTAGAGTACTATTAGGTTTTTGGAGCTGGAAAAATCATTCTTGAAGCAATTTCATTTTCATTTTTAATTCACTATAGGTGACCTCCTTAGAAGTTACTGAGACTACAAAATTACAAATTTACGCCGACAAGGGTTTCATATTTAATTTACTTAAAAGTTAAAACATAAATGTCAATGCATTTGAGTGATACATGCATATAATTCTTATGCTTCAATTCAATAAGTTTACGTATTTTTTGGTTTTGAATGAATAAATTAATTATGCATATTTTATACAAAATTTCAAAGTTTTATCACAAAAATTAATGAACAATCAACTTTAAAATTATACATACTGTAAAATATTTTTGTTTGCTTTTATATTTTATTTTGTTTATGATTATCTTTTTTTCCGAAGTTTGATTTAGTATAGTTTTCGCTTCTATTTAGATTATATAATGCACCGGTATGTCACTATGCTCTCATTCGTGTATTTAAGATTGACTCGTGGGCCTACGACAGCAGAATAATGAAGAAAGAAGACGAAAACTTTATAAGAGCGTCATTACTGCTGCTTAAAGGGGGTGCATTGATGTCGAAAGAAACACTGAAAATAGAAGTGAAGAAGACTGGCAATGGCATTGACCTTCTTCTAAAAAATAAGGAAAAGAAACTTCATCATAAATTTGTGAAAAGGCAGAGAGAAAAGTTATTTCCTCAAGGAGGTGTTGGGACAGATATTGAAGTATGGGACATTGCAATGCTTATCACAGTTCTACTAACAATCTTCAAACAAACACTTGATGATGACCAGAAAGATCATTTAAAGACAATTAAGAATATAAGAGATGAGGTTTATGCTCATACTGCATCCTCATCACTAAACAACGATGATTACGATGATATACGCCAAAGGTTAGAGCAAGCTTACATATCTTTGTCAAGTTCGATAGGGAATGACAAGAAAGATGAATGTGACGCCATTATACAAGAATGCACAGTAGATCCTATCAATCCGGAAGAACTTAAGAGACAATTAGAAAATCAAGAGGACCTTTTCCAAGTGGTTCTTGATAAATTGAACGACACTCAAAAGTGTATACTCGAAACGAGGAATGGTAGTACCTTTTATCCCTACTTTTTTCGTTATTTTTTCGAGCACATTTTGTAAAATTTTATCTTCAACATTAAGGTTAAAGAATTCACAGGAAAAATATTACATTTTTTCAACAGTTATGAAACAGTATCTGTATATGAAATATTGTTATCTTGATTAATACAGAATTTATTTTAGTTCGATTGTGTAGGAAGCTACAAGCTTATAGACACACTTTCGAATCCATTCATTGAACCAGTACTGAGCAATGTGTGTAAAGTTTCTTGCTCAAGGAAACAACGACTTGCCCCTGACGGGGTTTGAACCCATGCGGCTAGCGATCATTAGATTATGTAATCTTTTGAACTATCGTTCAAGTTTCCTTAAAGCTTCTACAATAATCTTTTATGTTCTCTTTTGGAAGAAAATCACACACAATAAAATTCTATTTAATCTTATATGTCGTCATATTTTACAGTAATCATGGCTAGACTGGACTCTATTTTCAAAAAAGAGGATCAAAGTACAAAAACTATTACAGGTATGAGAAGATAATAATATCACGGTAAATGAAAATGACAATTCTGGAATAGATTATTTCCTAATAGATTTTTATTACTGATTACATAGTTACATTCTCAGTATTGTTTTGACTTCTATCTTTTTTATATGCCCGAAAAGGCATATTATGTTATACCCCCTGGCGTCCGTCTGTCTGTCTGTCCGTACAAAGAGCTACATTAGCTACAGAGCTACATTATGGGGTTTGGTCTATTGTACTCATAACAATAGATGTCTATGATGTCATTCCTTCCGTTTCTCTTGTGGGGTTATTTTCTGCATTGTGGGATTAAAAAGAACAAAAGAAATAACAAAAGAAAACCCCATAATGTAGCTCTGGTAAGAACTTCCGTCCGTCCGTCCGTTAGCAATTTGGTTTCCGGAGCATAACTTAAATTCCATTTGGCCAACAATGTTCAAACTCATACGATGATTATCCGTATTGGGTAAAAGACCCCTATTGATTTTGGGGTCAAAAGGTCAATGGTCAAGGTCAATATTACCTTAAAATTTAAAACAGTTTCCGGAGCATAACTTCAGTTTCATAAGACCAACAATATTCAAACTTCAAAGGATGATTGTTCATATTGGGCAAAAGACCTCTATTGATTTTGGGGTCACTAGGTCAAAGGTTAAGGTCACAATTACCTTAAAACCAAAAACAGTTTCCGTAGCATAACGTAAGTTTCATTTGGCCCTCTATATTCAAACTTCATAGGATGATTGTCCATATTGGGTAGAAGACCCCTTTTGATTTTGGGGTCACGAGGTCAAAGGTCAAAGTCACTTTTACCTTTATACTGAAAACAGTTTCTCGAGCATAACTTAAGTTCCATTTGGCCCACAATATTCAAACTTCATAGTATGATTGCGCATATTAGATAGAAGACCCCTATTGATTTTTGGGTCACAAGCTCAAAGGTCAAGGTCAGTATTACCTTAAAATTGAAAACAGTTTCCGGAGCAGAACTAAAGTTCCATTTAGCCCACAATATTCAAACTTCTTAAGATGATTGTCCATATAAGGTAGAAGAACCCTATTGATTTAAAGGGTCACAAGGTCAAAGGTTTAGGTCATTATTAATAACTTAAGTATCAATCAACCTACAGTTGTAAAATTTTACAGGATAAACAGCTAATTCCCATGTCTTACAAATGCTTCATCCTTACTAAAAAACACTTTTGGGCATATAATGCTCCGCCTAGCGGTGCTCTTGTTAAATTTTGACAGTATGTTAACGATATTAAACGGGAAATTAAAACTGGTAAATATTGTAATGCTCCTTTCGGTTGTTTATAGAGAGGATATTTGTTTAGTTCAGTATAAGATCGGAATATATTTCACCGAGTGAGCACCAAAAGGCATATTGCGCCACTAGTGAAATATGAAAATTTGGTGTTCACGAGGTGAAACATTTTTCGATCTTACACTAAACTAAACAAATTTTATTTTTAATATATGCAAAGAAACGTTTAAAAAGACATTATAACCTAATACTAAATGAAAAGCCCCAAATAATAATACAACGTGACTTCAGTTACGACGTCATGTTATTAAAAATCTGGAAACAAAGTGATCCCTTGGAATATTAAGTTGGTTTCCAGTACTGTGCATGCTGGTATTTCACTGAAACAACGTAATGGGCTTAAATTCTAAACATTGAAATTATCAAATTGATAATTTCAATGTTTCAAACAGTGAAATTATCAGTTTTGTATTTCACTGATATATTTCTAAAAAACACCGGAAAGCATGTAATAAATGCATATCTTTTTACACAATGAGAGCGACTAATTCTAGAACCAAAAGACAACCTACTAGAGTATTTTGAAAGATCTTGAGATTTTTCTGTAAATGTTTTTTACTCTTATATTATTTATTTCAATATTTGAACATCTTCTTTCAGTGATAGATGCAAAGTTAACTTTGAGTGGAGCTATTAATGAAAAATCCGACATAGACTTTGCTGAGGATATACTCACAAAAGTTTTAAACAAAGCAATTAAAAGAGCAGGTGGAGATACAGATCATCCAAAGATTCGCAAAGTTGTTGACAAGATGCTTGAAGATATTGGAAACTTGCCTGACGTAGAAGTTCTTCCAGCAGAGCATAAATGCATCATATTGAAATTCAAATGTAGTTCTTATCTCGGTTTGCAAACAATCCTGATATATTTGCACAGTGATACTTTTAAGAAAATTCTTCAAGAGCTTGCCATCTCTCTAAAAACAATTCATCGAATTAAGAGCGAACACATCAATATTAATGCGGAAGTGACCTTGGAATGCTTGAAGGTTATCTTAGATACACTAAGTAAGTCTGCACCTTTATACTATTTTTTTGAGATGCTTAAATTAGAATACAAATTTACTATTTTCGCCGATAAACTCAAAATGAGGGGATATTAAACAGACAAAAGTCTTATCGTTCCTCTATCTGTCTGTCCTTTGGCATGATAAATACATGTATCATAAAATGCCAGGGTTGGATGATCTTTTTTGAAAGGTAACATGAACATAAATATATATTGACCACAATTGTGTTCATTTGAGTTTACATTCAAGTGCAAATACCAGGTAACACTACGCATGTCATAATGATCTGATCTTTCAGACCATATTGATCGCTTGGTTCGGCCTTCACTTGTGTCTCTTAAGCTTAACCTTTTACCTCATATAAACGTGTATTGACGGCTTTTTGCCCCCACTTTTTGAAGCCTCAAAAAATGCCCATTTAGGCCCCAAACACTGTTTTTCGTTTGAGAAATGTTGTTAAAAAGTGATCATTTTTTCGGCGCCGCCCATATCAAAATGGTACAAACATTTTTTGGACATGTGACAGGCTAAAAATGGCATCAGGACGATCCTAGGGTAACCAGTAACCAACGCTGAAAAGCCTTTTACTCTATCTCAATCCATTGAGAATTTGCAGCACTTTAAAATCTTTTTTGATGGAAAAAAACAATGCATAATAGAGATTTTTCGCAAATTTTGAGGCGTCCCCATTGACATCTTAACAGGAAATCTACGAATTAGCATGCTGTTAATGAGGCCCTGGTCACGTCAACATTTGTGCCAAGTTTCATCAGTATTGAAGCTTTTTCATAGTTTCATAGCAGTTTGAACTTGTTACAGGAGGCTTTTCAATGAAAACGGCCATTTTTCATAATATGCTTATGCGGTAAAAGGTTAAATTAGGATTTGCCAAGAATGACACCAAAATGTTCTTTCTTAAATGTTGCTTACCTTGCTAGTATTATGATAACATTTTTTGTTAAGTTTAAATCTTTCAATACATGAATATTGCATCATATAAAAGACAAGATGAAACATATTTTCTGCAAAATACAACCATCACCTTAGCCTGCATGTATACAATAATAAAAGAATACAACGAATGTTTATGAAAAACTTTCAAAATTGAATCTTCAAGTTGCTTTTTAAGTTATTGTTTTCCTTGAATTTAAAATAGGCATTCAAAATGAGAATTTAAATTTAATTATACTGATTGGATAAGTTGTAATTTATCGTAGGATAATGAATTTAAGTCGTCTTCTATGACACTGACATGTAGCATTGCCAAGCCTCTACAGAAATTATATAAATCATGGTCCTGCACACAGCATAGCCACAAAAGGAGGGCACCAAGACGCCACTGGATCAAAAACGGGAGAGGGCAATAAGTGGACAAAGGAGGGGAGAGACATGTCACTGATATGTGAAATGATAAGAATGTAAAGAATTGATACAGGAATCAAAGGAACATTGTTGAGGTTTAAAATAGGGGACTTTAAATTGGATAATAGGGAGAATGGGAAGATAATGCTTACCGCCAACGAAACTTTTACTCTTGTAAACGTTTCGTTAGCGGTAAGCATATAAGACACCAAAGAACATGTCAACAAACAACACATGTAACAAAACACAAGACATACATGTAAAGGAATATTGAGGAGAGGAGTACCGCTTTGGAATGATCATAAGCAATAACACTACTAAGTAGTTTCATGAGTCTTGATTTCAATATGTACCTATATGACGAAACAATTGCCATGGGTAAATCATAGTTAAAATGACCATGAAAATATAAACAGAAATGAATAGCCCAAAAACCATAACAAAATCACTCGCTGTCTTAAAAGTAGGCAAAGCGACAAGAAAATTACCTATAAGGACCTGCAAAAGCAAAACAGAAGGCAAAAGGTAAATTAATTTAGACCGAAAAGCTTTCATTAAGAACGTTTTACCACAGTTCCACTTCATCCGCCAGATAAAAAAGAGGAAATTTTATGGCTCAAGTATAAAATGGTTCAACAAGCATGTGATAAATTTTGGTGAAGACAGTAGAAATAATGCTATTATCTATGACCCTAGCAAGTTTATAAACCACGCCGCCCAAGAAATTAGGTTTCCTTATACCTTGTTATAAAATAATTTTAAATTTATTTTAAAATTATATCTGGATTACGATGATATTTCTTAGTTAAATATTTACAAAATTTATGACAGCGATGGCTTTGTTGAAGAATTTATCTTGTAAGAAATGGATTGTGAATATCAAAATCATCCTCTTGACTGCACGTCCTTGCAAATCTAATTCACTTAGAAATACATGTATAAAAAATATGATGTATGAGGAACATCTCTATATTAATGTGGATGGTTAACGTTAACGATATTAAAATAAAAATCACCAATTTTATCACAGGTTTTAGTTACTATAGAAATGTTAAGGATAGAAATGTTTAAATCCAAAATGATGCAGTTAAGTGTTTATTTCATTCAACCTGATTATGTATATACATTTGATCAAAAGAAGGGTAATTTACATGAAGAGTATCATCTGGCAGTGTTATTAAATCCATGTATAATTTCTTGTGATACTAGCGAGTAAAATGGAATCCCTCACATAGCAATATAAAAATAAATCATCGGGCAGGGTTGGACTATTAATGTACTGTTAAGCTTATTTCCTAAAACATTTCAATAATGGATACATAATGCAATGACTATGATACTGGCCGCCTGTTCAACCGGAACTAAAACTAATTGCGAGTGTAATGCTAATATATAATTTCTAGTTGGAAGAACTTTGTATCCCACATAGAATATTATACATGATAAATACTTCAATGCTACCATGATAAAGTGCACTAATATCAGCATGTTTGCACCGACACCATTTAACCGTTAAGTCATCTATTGATTCAGCAATCCGACAACGACAAGCATTAAATCAAATCCCGGTCAATTTTGTTCGGAACCTATCTCCTATACGCATGTAGGTATTTTAATGAAACTTTATGTAAATGTCTACCAATAGGACAAGCTGTATCGCGTGCATGAACCAAGTCTATTTTGATATAACTTGGCACACATGTAAGGCAGTGTTGCGTGCATAGGGGTCAAAGTTCAGATAAAAATATGAAAATGTTATTCGGACCATTTAGTCATAATTTATGGAGGGATTGAACACAAAGTGTCATTATCATCACTACGGGATGTGAAACAGGTTAATACGTATATGCAAGATCGAGGTCACTTAAGATGATAAACTGTAGAGATTTTGTCCAGAGCATATCTTCTACACGCATAAAGGGTTTCTAATGAAACTTCATATACATGTTTACCACTATGAGAAGCAGTGTCATGCGCATAAACCAGGTCTCTAGGTAAAAGGTCAAAGTGACACTTACAGATCATTAAAAACGCTTGTCAGGAGCAAAATCTGTACATTCATAAAGGAATTTAAATATAACTGAGCACAAATGTTTACCATTGTGAGTCGGAGTGTCACAAGCAAATTTCACGTCCTTGCGGCCAAGGTCAAGGTCCCACATATGGTTCAAAGTTTAGATAAAAGTATTAAAATGTGTATTCGGACCATTAAGTCATCATTTATTGAGGGATTGAAACACAAATGGTCATTATCATCACGACGTGTGTATTGAAACATGTAATTTAAATTAATATATGCAAGGTAAGGATCACCACTAAAGATGATTGAAAGAGATATTGTCCAGGGCATATAACCTACATGCATGGAGGGATTCTAATGAAACTTCATATAAATGTCCACTGCTATAAGAAGCAGTGTATAAACCAGGTCTCAAGGTCAAAGATCCAGGTCACACTTACAGCTCATTGAAAAATGCTTGTTCGGATTAAAACTTCTACAAGCATAAATGGATTCGATATAACTTGACACAATTTTTTATCACTGTAAGGCAGAATGTTGCATGTAAAATTCAAGCCCCTTTAGCCAAGGTCAAGGTCACACATAGGGGTCAAATTTAAAATAAAAATATGAAAATGTGTATTTGGACCACTTAATCATCATTTAATGAGGGATTATATAGCACATGGTGATTATTATGATTACGGCTGTGATATTTGTAATATAGGTCAATATATGCATGGTCAAGGTCATAAAAAGATGATGAAATATACAGATTTGTCCGGAGCATATCTCTTACACGCATGGCGGTATTCTAATGAAACTTCATAGAAATGTTTTTTTTCACTTTTAGAAGCAGTGTCACGTGCATTAACCATATCTCTAGGTTAAAGATTACGTTCACACTTAAAGGTCATCAAAAAAATTGTTCGGAGCAAAGTTCATCATTCATTGGGGGATTTTAATTTAACTTTGCATATAAGATATGTTCACCATTGTGATGCTGAGTATTGCGCCCAAAATCCAGGTCCCTAATACCAAAGTCACACAGAACGGTCAAAACTGGGATAAAAACAAAAGACGTATACAGGGACCATTTAGTCAATATTTATTGATGAATTGTAACACAAATGATAATTTCCATTACTATCAGTGTGGCACATGTAATTTAGGTTAATCTTCGAAAGGTCAAGGTCACTAGAGATGATAATATACCCATATATTGTGCGGATATTGCTCATAGCATATCTTCTATTTGCATATCTATAATGCCCACATCTCTGTCAAAAGCTTTTGTGACGGGCGTATTTAGCGACAATGTTGCCGTTGTTTATCTTAAGATTTAAGAGGCAAACAAATAAAAACAAGAATAAAGATCAACAAGGCAAACGCAACGTTCACAGCTCGCAGCCCCCGACACAACCAAGAAGGGCACCCAGAAGGAACAAAACCAAAAACCGGGAGTTGACACAATGGCGACAAAAGGTGAGGGACACGTAATGTGTGAAATAACAAAAACCAAAACGGGCCTTGATTGGAGTTAAAGGGATACGGGCTGTAAGGGTGAAGGGGTGCAGTAAAAATGGGAGAGGGGCCAAGTTTTCTTTTCTATTTAAAACTAGACAATCTGAAAGACTCTTAAATAATTTGTTCTACTGGCTTAATAGTAAATTTTTAAACGAATGGCCATGTTTTCTAAATTGTTGATACAACAGAATAATACATTTGCTTCAAATATCACTTTACAGAAATATTTTCTAATTTTTAGAGAACATACTGAATGTCACAACTGGAGCATTTTATGATAACACATAAATAAAATGAGATGACTTTTAACCTATATCCGTATTAAAAATTGTTTAAACTCTTCGTATATTACCTACAGGAATACAAGTATACCTTTGGAATAAACAGTTACAATATTTGCACTTCTTAGAATTACATTTGTTACATTAGTTTATAGCATTGTACACTGTAAATCTATAAGGCACAGTGGTCTCTTATATATTGTACTTATTTTAAAATGTAATCATAATAGCTGAAAGTCTAATGCGAAGTGAATTTCAAAGAAGAGGGTTTATTGCTTTGCTTATGTCGATCAGTCGGTTGGGCAGTCCGTACACCAAACCGTTTCCGACGAATAACATAAAAATCTGGATGATATGTGATCTCTCGAAAGCACAACAAAATTACATGAAAACTGTTGATTCGGTTTCATTAAGTCTGCACATGAGGGATGAAGAAAAGTGCTTTGTCCCTAACGTCCGCTAGCATCAGCTTGAGCGGTACAAAATTTGCAAATACAAATACAAATAAACAACAACATTGAAGTGGCAACTTTTTACAGCTGCCACACAGCACTTGACACCTGCTGTTGTGAAGTAGTACAAGAACGCATGTACCTCGGAACTTCAAACATGGTATGGGTACTGGTCATGATACAAGATCAAGGTTATTTTTGCCATTTATGTCAATACAGATTCCGAAAATGGATAACCCATTAAGCAATAGACCTTTCACATTCAAAGGTAGATTGGCTTTGGCTAGTATATGACCCCTTTTGATTCTTTGATCAAAGGTCAAAAAGGGGTCAAAAGTAAAATTCACATTTACCTTGTATGTCTTACCAGTTTCAGGAAAATAATCAGCAACTAATAGGCCACTTTCTATCAAACTTTATCATTGCACTGGTCTAGGCGGCCAGTTAATGATCTCTATCGATTTTGGCATCAATGTGTCAAAGGTCAAGGTGAGATTGACCTTGTATGTAAAAAGGGCTTTCGTTCAATAACTGCACAACTCATTGGCTTTTGCCCTCAGCTTTCACAGGTGCCTTGGTCTTGAACCCTTTTGATAATTTGGCCAATGATTCATAGGTCAATATGTATGTGAAAACAGGTTCAAAACTAGACAATCATCAGCCTTTAAGCCTTAGGCCCTTAACTGTGATGTCAAAGAGTCAAAGGTAAAGGTCATTCGATCTTGTATGTTTAAACAATTTCCGATTTGAAATTCAAAAACCATATGACCCTGGCCGTCAAGTTTCACAGGTGCATTTGTACTTGACCAGTAGATAACTTTTAATGATTTTATGGTCAAAATGTCAAGAATCAAGGTCATTTTGACCTTGTATGTAGAAACGGTTTTCGACCAATAACTGGACAACCCATGGGCCCTTAGCTCTAAGACTTAACATTTATGTTGGTATTGGCCAGTAAATACGCACTATTCAATTTTTGGGTCAAAGGGTCAATGTAAAGGATACATTCACCTTACATAACAAAATGTTTTTCAGGGAATAATTTCGTCCTTTTCCTCAAACTTCAAATCTGCATTTTTTAGTTAATCAATCGTATTTATTTTGGAGTCAACAGGTTAAAGGTCAAGGCCACATTGCTCGTGTATGTTAAAACGTTATCCGGAAAATCACTTGAAAAGTCAATAACACATTGGTCATTTTTTCCCCAAACTTCACAGGCGCATTTGTGACGCTTATTGTTTTTTGTGTCAAAGGTCATGGTCACATTGATTTTGTGCGTAAAAATAGCTTCCGACAAGTAACACAAATGCCCTTGGCTCTGAATCTTCACAGATGCATGTGTTTCGGCCAGTAAATGACCTCTTTTTATTTTTGGGTCAAAGGGTCGAAGGTCAAGGTCACATTTCTCTTGTCTCAACATCCCATCGCCCCTCGGCTCTCAAACTTCAAAGGTGCATTGGCTTTGGCCAGTAGATGACCTTTATTGATCTTAGTGTTGCAGTGTCAAATAATGACTTTGACTGTCATAACGGTTCTCTTGACTGTTATAACGGTTCTTTACCAAAGGGTATTTGCTGCTCAAAGTTTACTTATGCATTTGTCTTTGGCAGTAGAAAATCCGTTTTAAATTTTGGGTCGAGGACTCAAATGTCAAGGTGACTTTGACCTTGCATGGCAAAACGATTTCCAAGCAAAATTGCATACACTTTTTGACATGCTGACGATAATGGAGGATGGCATATATTGTTTTACAAATATCTCTTTTAGTTATGGAGTAAAAAAAGCTTATTTGCGTTTAAAGTTTGAACATTTCTCATGAGGCACCTTCCTATTTATAAATCGCGGTTTATATCAAATTTATTCTTCTTCAGTCATTAGTCAGTTCATATATGGTAAATCTTCTTGTTAAATCTATTTATTGTCAACAATGAACTTGATTTTAACTTAACAATAAAGATCAGGCAATTATTTTTACTTGTATTGCAAATTGTCTTCAAAAATGAATACGCATGAAGCAATTTTATTTGACCAACTCGACACGTTTCTTTCAAATCGCAATCAGTTTCTTCTTTAAGAATCACATTGAGGTCTTCTGTATATTTTGAAAAGTGCATAGAAGTCAAATGTACTTTTTTCTATGTTAGCTAATAAGTTGTGTGTTCGTTATGTTACTCAAACTTGTTGTATATTATTTTTAAATAGTGATATTTCTCATAACGTAAAATACCAGAATAATTTGACGCATATTTTTGGTTGACGGAATTTTCGTCAATCAAGTGAGAAAGTATGGCAAGATAAACAAAGTTGAAACGACAAAACAAATTATTTGTTGACATTTAGAACGGCATTGTTTAAAAAAAATAAGTCATATAAGTCAACTTTGGAATACAATGATCACCATTAACTATTTTAGGCTCTGGCACATCAGATGAAAATGTTTATAAAAGAACTATTAGAATGCCGATAGAGGTTAAAACTACAGATGGAATGAAGCGGTTATGGTCAATGTTTGAAGATGGCGGGGCTACAAACAGATTAAATGAACTCTCAGAAGCCGTTTTTGATGAATTAAATACAAAAATTACAGTGACACCATCAATCGGATTGAGTGGGGTTCAAGATGAAATAAGACAATCAGGTGCAATTCTTTATATTTTATGACATGAACCACTGTAATGTTACTCATTGTGTCATAGACCTGACCAACATAAAACTCAGGCTGTCTAGGCAATGAGTTTACATTCTTAAGTTTGCTTATTTAGCTCACCTATGTTAGCTCAGTTAAGGATCGTTGAATGTTCTGCGTAAGTCGTTTATCTTCGGTCACAATTTGGTTCGTAAACACTCTAGTGGTCATAATTTTTGCTTCATTTGTTACCATACTTAGTCAGGACTTTTTGTCCTATTAATAGCTCAGCAGAATTTGAACATGGGTCATTTCGGATGAAAAATTAGGTCACATTAGCCAATAAACATTTTTGATAACACCTTTTTGTCTAAATATCTTGGAAAGCGGTCAGAAAAAAGATTGTTTAGATGTTTGCTCGCTCTTGTTTACTATTTAGAAGAAAATTCAAGGATGCTAAATAATTGTTAGAAAAGTAGCTTTGATCGAATATGTGTCACTTGGGATCAAACTAGGTAGCACTTACGAAATATAGAAAAACCTTCTTAAATCAATAGTCAAAATGTAATATTTTCAGCCCAAACATTTTCATCATAAGTTTTCTTGAAATTGTTCAGAAAAATTAATTGCATAATTTCTAGTTCAAGTTCGAATATACGTCATCTGGGGTTAAAAACTATGTCTCTCAGCCAATTTATTCCAAACCTTTACTTACATTCTTTAGGTAAGATTTTCAAATAAAATATCAAGTAAATATGTCAGAATGGTTGAATGAATTTCTGTATCGATTACAAATTATATTACAGTGTATGGTATTTGTTTCATGACTCATGCTGTAGAAGAAGATATGTTCAGTAAGGCAACTGGAAAGGCTATATTTTTAAACTTTACAAAAGATAATTTTAAATCAGCATATTCAATTAGCGTTTGCGCTGGTGATACTGGTGCAAATTTTCAATATTTGCTATTTCACATAATTCATTTAGGTTAAGTTTTATATTTGAAATAAAATAAGAACATATTAGTCATGAGTTTTATCCTATTGATTTGCTGAGTGGAGTTCAAACATGGGCCAGTGCTGATGAAAAACTAGGTTACGATAGGCAATAAACACATGTGGCTTCTCCTTCGGTCTAAATCTTGAAAATTTGACGGAACGATTGTTTAGATGTTTTCAAGCTCTTGTTAACTATCTAGAAGAAAGTTTTTTTAGATCAAATATTCTGAAAATTTGTCTAAAAAGTTGCTTCCATGATTTCTAGGTCAAAATCGAATATTGGCCACTTGAGATTAAAAACTGGTTCTTACCAAATATGGAAAAATCTTGTTAACACTCAAAAGGGCATAGTTCAGCCCATATATCTTAGAGATTTTGCAGAAAGATTGTTTAGATGTTTTTTTAGCCCTTGTTTACTATTTAGTAGAAAGATTTTCAGATCAAATATCCTGAATTTTTTTTAGAAATGTTACTCCATTATTTCTAGATCAAGATCGAATGTTGACCACTTGGGATTAAAAACTAGGTCACATTAATCAATCATGTAAAAACATTGTTTACACTCAAGAGCCTAAATATCTAGAAAATTGTTCAGATTATTCCTAGCTTAAAATGGAAAATGGTTCATCATAGATCACACCGCCGAAATATTAAGAAAACCTTGTCAACACCCTTGATGTAAAATTTTCAGCCCAAATATCTGGGAAATGTGTCAGAAAGTTGTTGCAATGATATTTTAGCTCACGTTCGAACATACGTCACCTAGGGTCAAACAAACCTAATATTGAAAACTCTTAACACCTAAGAGGTAATATTTTCTGCTTAAGTTTCTTTGAAGTTGTTTAAAAAGGTTGATTGCATGATTTCAAGCTTAAGTTTGACTGTAGATCATATGGGGTAAAGAACTACGTCACTCAATTTATTGAACAAATTTGTTAACACTATTAAGGTAAGATTTTTAGACAAAATATCCTTGAAATATGTCAGAATGGTCGATGCAAGGATTTCAAGCTATTTTTGGGTAATTACTTTGGGTAATAAACAGGGTCAGACATCCAAAATATGGAATAATATTCTTAAAACCCTAGAGATTACATTTACAGTAGAAATATCATGTAATGAATCAGAAATTTTGCGTCTATGATTTCTAGGTCAAGTTCGATTATGGGTCATCTGAGGTCAAATACTACGTCACACAATCCAAATTATTGAAAACACTTAGATAACACTCTAGAGGCAATATTGTCAGATGAAATACCCTAAACATTGGTCAGAAAGGTTGTTATGAGCTTCAAATATTGGTCATTTAGGGTTCCAAAACTAGGACCATATAATACAAAAATATAAATGTAGTATTTTCAATCTAATTTCCTGGCAATTTTTCAGCAACGTTGTTTAATTGATTGTTATATCAGGTTTGAATGTTGGTCATCTTGGGCCAAAAGCCAGGTCGCTTAGCCTCAATAAGAAAATGTCGTGTTTACATTTGCACTAGTTCAGGTTCAAATATGAACGTTATGATAGCAATTTAATATTTCTACAATATATCTGATTTTAATTCATATCTAATTATTTCATTTGTTCCTTGTAATTTAGAGCTTTAATAATCAAGTGAAAGATATATCATAACCCATCTTTTCCCCCATTTATTTATGTGGACTTAACGTCTTACAACATACCAACAGCCGAAACAGTTTCAATTTAGATCAATAAAATATTTATAACAACTCATAAGTATTCATATAATTTGACAAAAATCATTTCAGACGATCATTTAAAACGATTAACGAATGTTTCGGCCGTTAAAGTGGAGCATGTCATTCCAGTTGCTGAAGAGGACAGATATCAAGAAAAAGGTGTGAATAATTTTCTGTATCGATTAAGTAAAATTATATTACAGTGTATGGTGCTTTTATGACTTACGATACATAAGATAGCAAACATTTTGCTTCTATGATTTCTAGGTCAAGTTCAATTATGGGTAATCCTGGGTCAAATACTAACGTCACGCAACCCAAGTTATGGAAACACTTAGATAACACTCTAGAGGCAATATTGTTAGCTCAAATACTCTAAATATTGGTCAAAAAGGTTGGCCATTTAGTGTTAAAAACTAGGACCATATATTGGAAAACCTTGTTAACAATATAAATGTAGTATTTTCAGACTAATTTCCAGGATAATTTTACAGCAAGGTTGTTAAATTGATTGTTATATCAAGTTTAAATATGGGTCATCTTGGGCCAAAAGCCAGGTCGCTTAGCCTTAATAAGGAAATGCCGTGTTTACATTTGCACTAGTTCAGATTAAAATATAAACGTTATGATATCAGTTTCATATTTCCACAATGTGCTTTTCATTCATATCTAATTATACAAACTGTTCATTGTCATTAAGAGCTTTAATAATCAAGTGAGAGATATATCGTGACCCTCTCTTTTCCCCCATGCATTTAAGTGGACTAATCGAATCGCAACATACCAACCACCGGAAAAGTTTCCATTTAGATCAATGACATATAAAAAAAACCCAGATGGAATGTAATATAAATTTCAGATTTCATTTCAGATGAACATTTAAAACCATTAATGGATGTCTCGGATGTTAAAGTGGAGCATATCATTCCGGTTGCTGAAGAGGACAAATATCAAGAAAAAGGTATGAATGATTTTCTGTATTGATTAAGTAAGATCATTTTACAGTGTATGGTATTCGTTTAATGACACATGCTGCATAAAATGTCAGACATTTTGCTCCTAAATCTAGGTCAAGTACTATTATGGGTTATCTTGGGTCAAATTCTACATCGCATTTGAAAGGTTGTTATGAATTTAAAATGTTGGACATATAGGGTTACAAACTAGGACCATACATGGAAAACCTTGTTAACACGATAAAAGTAGTATTTTCAGTCTAATATCCTGACGCAATAGTTCAGCAAGGTTTTTAATTGGTTGCTATAATGTGGATCATCTTTGGCCAAAAGCCAGGTAACTTAGTGCAAATAAGGAAATGCCGTGTTTACATTTGCACATTGTTTAATGACTCATGCTATAGAAGAGGATATGTTCAGAAAGGCAATTGGAAAGGTTGTTTTTAAACAATTCAAAAGATAGTCTAAAATTAAACATATTCTGATATGCTGATATTGGTGTAATTTTTCAGCATTTGCTAATTTACATATTCAATAAGGTATATTCCTGTTATAGAAATAAATTTAAAATATATTTATAAATGCTTTTGTTAGAGGACTAAATGCTATATTGACTATCATTATCAGATTAAAAAATATTGGCTATTATAATTATAGTATCATCTTTACACTTTGATAGTTCCTAATTGATTTTGCTGTTTAAGAAGCAGATATTACAACCATGCCACAGGAAATGACTGAATATGAATCTAGTCATTCAAGAAAGCGCTTATTTGGCAGATACACTGATGAAGGTAAAATACTTAAGATATTATCTTTTGTAAGTTCGTTCCCATTTAAAATATATTATGTTTTGTAAAATCGTTATTAAAGAAGTAAAAAAAAAGAATAATAACTTTCAATTATTTTTATTATGTTGCACTTTTAATACTCAAACAGTTTGTTAAATTCTATTTATTTTGGGAAAGAAATATAGATATTCAAAGGTAATTGTATTACATATGGTATAAATGTATGATGCTGAATACACTTTTCTTTGTTTTCTTTTTTAACAGAAGCTTTAAATGCATATACAAAAAGTATTCCAATATTTCATTTCGAACAATTTCATTGTTTTGCTTGAATATTATTGCAATAATTTGAAATAGTTCGGGTGCTTAAAAATACAACAAAAATACTTTCTGGGTTAATTAATATCTGAAATAAATACAAAATACCAGAAATTAATACCAAATGTCATAATGTCAAGACATTTAATACAAACAGGAACTGCATCCTCAAACTTCCAACTGCTAGGACAGTTTCGATCTTCAAACGGAATAATATTGATGTGGACGAATCTTGACCGCTATCTATGCGATAATTCTGATAAACGCCATTATACTATCCCGAATTCTAAAATTTAAATCAAATTTGTTAATAGTGTATTCGTCATCGTTCATATTTACTATGTTTAAAGGCCCGTTAAGACTAAAAAGACTTTCTCAAGAACATTCTTTTTAGTGTCCTGTAACAGTGTCCAAAAAATAATCATTGGTAATATAGCTAGACAATCTTTTGTTTAATTCACGTTTTGACAGGTTGTACTGTTATAGTAATTAAAATGTGTATGGGAGCCAAAAAGCTACTTTGTTACTGTAACAGTTGCTTCCTTATGACAAAATGCCGCATTCAGCACTATTGTCATCAGGTGATATGCATCTCACATATTCTAAATCCATAATTTTAACATGACCAACAAGTTATATGTCTGAGACTTAATGAATTTTACATATACACACAATTATTCCTCAAGTGAACTGCCATATCGAAGATTTACCATGTGTTAGTGACATTAGTGTATAAATTATCATTTTAACGAACAGAGAAGCTTATATAACATAGAGTCGATTTCTAATTCTATACATTTTATGTTTTTAAAAATGAAGAAGTGAAGAATACAGCTAGTCCAGCAAAGAAGTATAAGTACAATACATCTGGAGAACGGTGTAAGTTGAACTTAATATGAATTTGAATGCATTTATACATTCTCATCTTACAAATATTTCAGACTGAAATAAAGGTAACAGTTTACGACAGTGTCAAGGCCTTAACAGATAAAAACAGTTAGATAATACCAATGTCTTTGATTCTTCTTATATGAAATATTACTTATACTTTGTAAAGATATAACGACAAAAAAAACCCCAAAAATAACAACAAAAAAACAAGTGAAGCACTATTTGCTAATGGTAGCATAATATTAAACAGTAATAAAGACATAATTAGATAATCTTAAGCAAGTACATATCCATTAAGGCACATGCATTTCTTAGCTAAGTCAATTTCAGAGCCAATAAACTTTTACGAATATTTTTGGTGTAAAAGAAAGGTCGCTCTGTTTAACTTGCTATCTTTTCATAAGTGAACTATAAATGATACATTTTTAGTAAGATCGGAGTGTTTTTGCTATGCTAACATGACTTTGTTATATTTTCGTTATAGTGACGACCACCAAGCGGAAGAAGGGAATCCAGTTTTCATCAATGCAACAACCTCCGCTTATTAAACAGCTGAAGGGAATTTTATCTGAATATCCTGATAATGACCAAATTATAAAAGTAAAATTATGCATATTTAAAACATTTTAGATATAAAAAATATCAAATTAAAGGAACTCCACTGAGATCCAAAAACCTAAAATCATTAAATCTTAAATTCTACCACAAACCAACTAGGGCACTGAAACAGGAAGATATGAAAAAGATAAATGAGCAACAGCCTCAGAAATAAAAAAAATCGTATTTTTGTGCTATGCTTAATCTGATATAAGTGAAACGCGTTGCAGCGCTTTCCACTTTTGCAACGCTTTTCATCTTTTAATCATTTTAGCTCGACTTTATTTTATAAAAAAGTAAAATAGAGGTATTTTAGAAGTCATGTCGGCGTTGCCGTTGCCTTCCGCAAACTTGGACCTTGATCAAAACTCTAAATTCTTGGTGTATTGTCTTCATACTTGGCCACAACAGCCCTTGAAACAAGACTTTTAGGTATACCAGACTATATTTCACTTTCATCCATACATTCCCTTCATACGAAACACCAACCAGAACGTCTTTATATTATTAAGTTGTTAATATCTAAGAGCATTTCTCCTTCATATAATTATTACCCCGAAACGAAGTTTGGGGGTATATAGGAGTCACTCGGTGGTCGGTCGGTTGGTGGGTCGGTAGGTTGGTCGGTCGGTCCAGCGGTCCGTTGCATTTTCCTTGTCCGGAGCATAACTTGAAGACTAATGATTGGAATTCAATACAACTTTATACAATGATCAAGCACATCAAGAGGAAGTGCAGTGCATAAGAATCATAACTCCATCTTGACTAATTACAGAGTTATTGCCCTTGTTACTTTTCCTTGTCTGGAGCATAACTTGAAAACTACTGGTTGGAATTCAAAATATCTTCATACAATCATAAAGCACATTAAGAGAAAGTGCAGTGTGCAAGAGCCATAACTATATCTTGACTAATTACAGAGTTATTGCCCTTTGTTATTTTCCTTGTCCGGAGCATAATTTGAAAAGTACTGGTTGGAATTCAAAACAACTTCATACAATGGTCAAGCACAATAAGAGGAAATGCAGTGCACATGAACCATAACTCTGTCCAGAGTAATTATAGAGTTATTGCCCTTTGTTACTTTTCCATTGCTTTTTCTTAACCAGAGCATAACTTGAAAACTATTTGTTGGAATTCAATACAATTTCATACAATGGTCAAGTATATTGAGAGGAAGCGCAGTGCACAGAAACCATAACTCTTTCTTGACTCATTTAAGAGTTTATGTCCTTTATTACTTTTCATTGTCCAGTGCATAACTTGAAAATTAATGGTTGAAATTCAATGAAACTTCATACAATGGTCAAGGGCAGAGCGATGAAGTGCAGTGCACAAGAACCATAACTCTATTTGGACAAATTACAGTTATTACTCTTTGTTACTTTTTTTTATCCAGTGCATAACTTGAAAACTAGTAGTTGGAATTAAATACAACTTAATACAATGACCAAGGGCAATGAAAGGAAGTGCAGTGTACAATAACCATAACTCCATCTTCAGTATTTTTCAGTAGAGTTATTGCCCTTTGTTCCTTTTCTTGTCTGGTGCATAACTTAAAAACTAATGTTTAGAATTCAATGCATTAACTTCATACAATGGTCAAGCGCAATGAGAGGAAGTGCAGTGCTCAAGAAGCGTAACTCTTTCTGGCCTTATTACAGAGTAGTTCAATAAAACTTCATCATTGGTCAACCACATTAAAAGGAAATGCAACATACAAGAACCACAACTATCTTTAATTGCCCACAACCATAACTCTATTTCAATTCTTTTGCAAGGTATTCTGTTACTAGTAAATTCCTCATTTCCGAAGCAGTCTTGCGGGGGTATTAATCACATTTAGTGATAGTTCTTGTTTTATTTTCTTCGTCGTGCAATCAAAACAGATAAAAATGTCATTTGATAACCTATATATTTTAAAGACTAGTCAGATGGCTCATAAACGAAACAACGGTTTTAAGCAAACTGTCTCGTGGATGCTATTGTCGCCATCTTAAAGATTCTTCATATAATATGTTTTCAAGACCAAACTTATTCATCATCTTATTTCATATGTGGGCCTAAAGGGTCTAACATTTTGTATCCTACCCCGAAAAATAAATGAATATTCTTTTATTATGTGACTTTAGGGCTAATTTAAGGTACATTTGGCAAAAGAATAAATTTTGTTTGTCCTCTCCCGAAAAAAATGAATATTCATTTATTATGTGACTTTGAGCAAATGTCGAAGTACATGTGTCTAAATTTTCCAAGAAAATAAATTTCAGACTTAAACACAAGCGGGGCTGTATATGCTAGTTTTCATTTGATATTATCAAAATGATTACTGTACAGTTCACTTTTTCCCTTGAAATACTTATCGGCTAATATCTTACAGTAATGCATTTATGATTATAATCTAAATTAAATAACCCATATCAAACAAAAGAAAACACACTTTATTGTAGGTTTTTTTTATGTGCCTGATTATTTACTTTCTCGATAGTTTTATAAAAGAAATATTTATATTAATTTCACAAATAAAAAAATCATTTTCAGGAGCTTATTCAAAATGCAGAGGACGCTGGAGCAACAGTGGTAAAAATTCTTCATGATAAACGGAGAATAAATCTTGTCAGTGAACAAAGAGGAACAGCTCCTGATTATACAAAATTCTTTAAGGTATGAAACGTAGAGGAATAATTAAAAATACAACTTTTAATCTAAGATTCCGTCTACAGTTGTACGGCGCGTAGCGAGTCTGTTCAACCCCACGCATATGTTTATATAACTTTAAATACATGAAATAGTCTCAAACACGATAATTATCTTTGAAATATCACAAAACAATAAAATAATCTACCTTACTGGATATATCATTAAACATACTTTATATTATTACAAGGTATCCAACTATATGCTAACTGTCCCGTGAAAATATGTACAAGTTTGTTTAGCTTTGTTATTCATAATTACCTCGTTTTCAAATGTTTTAGTTTTCAAATGTTGGAAATAAATAAAAGGTAAAGAATTGTCATCAAATTTATGGGTTTTTTAATTCAACTTCAAAACTTTATTGCATTAAACAAATACATGTTTATAGCAAGTAAGAAATATATAAACACAAACAACACACAAGTACATGGATTTTTCAGAAGAACCTTACAATCATATGAATAAAATACAGATCACATTTGATAGGATTAATTTCTTAAAATGTTAGCATTATATATAAATTTGCTTAAACCATTAATTACAGTTAACGATGATTCAGACAATAAATTGATAAACCTTTGCTTAGTCGGCCATTTGAAGTTATACCGTTTAAGATACTTTTTTCTCAAATCGGAGAACTTCGGGCAAATAATTAAAAAATGATATTCATTCTCTATTTGATTAAATTGGCAATTTTCACAAAAACGTTCATTTCTTGGAATATTATGATATCTTCCATATTCAATAGCTAAATTATGAGACGATGTTCTGAATAATTAAGGCTATTCTATACCATTGCGGTGGTTGATTTTGTTGCGGGAACTGGAATTGTCCCGATGGAGACTGAACGTACTGTCCTTAAAATGATTGTGAATAACTCATATTATTCATATTATTGATGCCCGAAATATTTGGTGTATCAAACACAAAATAATCCGATTGTAGGTTTCTTTGTCGTTTTGTACCGTTACCGTTATCGTTGCTTGTACTCGTATTGCCATGTGATGAGACACCTGTTAAACCAGTTTTACTGTGTTTTATACTGCTCGATTCGTGTGTAATTGTATCTTCAAACAATGGAGAAATTTCTTTTCTCTTCTCTTTCCGTTTGGAATCTTTGTTTTGTTTATTTTTCTTCGCCGGCATAGAGAAATTACCTTTATAAATATATATATCCAAAAAATATCTATAAATCGTTTTAAATTTGCATTTAATCTCTATTTCTGCACGAGCTGTAAAATCCATGCCCTCGTGTTGAGGGGAGATAAGCACAAATATGTATGAATATGTATAATGTATGAAGCGTCCGAAAGATATTGAATTATTTCTATAATTTTTTTAACACCAGTTACACGGAATTATGTAATGCATGCGCTAATAGGACCTTGGCAAAATACTTCCAGGCCTTGATTTAACCGATTATAAAATGGCCATTTATACACACCGTAAGTAAAGTGGAATACAAAAAACATTTGAAGTTGGCTTTTTCCGTTACGTTCATTTTTTGACACTTTGCCGAAATAAGTAAATACGTTTTTGTACGCTACAAGTGCACAGATAAGACTTAGCTAGATGATGTTATGTGACATTTGTTTTCTAAACAACTAAGAGTAACTGTTATCAATAAAGACTTCATCGTTGGTAGCTTTTCTTGAAATTCAATCTGTGAATTTTATTGTTATCCGTCGAAGGCATGTCAAATTGCAATGATAATGAGCTAATAAAAATTACGTGAGGTGTTATTAAAATTGTCAATTTAAATACATGTATATATATAGATATATGAATAAATATATCAAAGACGACACTGAAGAGTATTTTCTATGATAAACGGCGAACGTTGACATACTCTGTGCTTTAAAACCCATGTGACCTTCAATGTGACTAACTAATATCTAAAGTGAGACACTTCAACTTTGCATAAATGTTGTTCCGGTCACAACAGCATTCATTTACAATAAAAACCTGGTAAATTTTCCGCATTGCCGTGTCGTGTATCGTTGACAGGTACTTGTTTTTGAGTGTAAGGGCCCATCTGTGACGTGTCAATTGGCAGTAAGGAATCTTAGAGAGAGTGCTTTTTGTATAGACATATTTATTATATAACAAAAAGTCTTATCAAATTCATCACCCTACTGATATTTCAGTCAAAAATAGAAAAGCCGAAAAACTGATGACCATAATGAGAATGATGATTTATTGGATTACTAGTATCACAATGTTAGGATTTAGTTACGCCCATTGTTTTCTCGTTTAGAGCACACGCATTCTTATACTTGTGGACCATATGCTTTTCACGGAAATACACTAACGTGTCACATTGAAGGTTCTATGTTATTTTATTAGTATCTAGCTATCTAAATAATTGGTGAAATTGGTCATTACAGTGACTTACATGTGCTTTATTTACGGATTTATTTTTCCAGACATTTATATTCTATATATTCATAACGTTTTCTGTTTGTGACATACAGGGTCCAGCACTGTGCGTGTATAATGACACAGTTTTCACGGATAAGGATTGGGAAGGTATACAGATGATATACAGTAGTGAAAAGGAAAAGGATCCCAAAACGGTTGGAAGGTTTGGACTTGGATTCAAGTCTGTCTTTCACATGACAGGTAAAACATAATGTTGTTGTATATCAGGAACGTACAATGAATGCTTACAATGTTTGTTATGCTCTCATTATCATACATTATGTATGTTACATTAATGATTACACGTGATTTATGAATATTCTGTGGGACATGTTTTACATTCGTAGCTTATACAATTTTTTTCTTAGAAAATTCTCAGTTACTTAATTTGACTGTCCATAAATTGAAGACTGTGCTTTAAAAACAATTGATATGCGTAATAATTTGACTTTAAAATACAATATAAAAAGTGCTAGATCAGAAAAACTAATGGGACTTAAGTATTTTTGGTTTAACGTTGCACCCAAAAAGTATAGGTCATATAGCGACTTTCCCAGTATAAAACATATGGCGACTGCCCAGCGTTACTTTTTGAAGAAAACCCTCGTTTTTTTTGTACTTTATTTTCGTTACAAACGAGCACCTGAGTAGAACAAGCGACGTTCCTTAAGCTAGCTGGGTAATGTTTTGACAAAAAAATTCAAAGATGCTTGCGCGGCTCGAACATTTACCTACATCAGCTAGTGTTTTAATAAATCAACAAGCATTTTAAAGCCATATAATATTAAAGTTATTATGTTATATATATTTTCTGTGTGTGTGTGTGTGTGTGTGTGTGTGCGTGCGTGCGTTGGTGCGTTGGTGCGTGCGTGCGTGTTTGTGTGTGCTTTAAAAATGTTCAGAAAATGAAAACCTTTTATAATGAACTTAAAATCATGCATACAGGACAACTGCACAAAAACTACTAGTGTAATTTCATCAAATCTGTGCTGGAATGATCAGTACAAAGTGTAATTGTGTCTATAATTGGTATTTCCCGGTATTACGATTTCTGCAAAAGTTACGACCCTTTTTATGTTTTTTTTAGTTTGTTCGGACTACTCCTCTTATACCACTTAGCAATTTTAATGAAACTTTACAAGATTAATCGGTGTGCATATTACACGAAAGCATTTCGTTTTTGCATGAATAATTTAACGCGTTAAAGGTGTTTTTTTTTGTTGCCAGCTACACAGAAGCTTGTTTGGACATCTTTTATTTTAGAAACTACTGGTGCAATTTCACCCAAATTGTAGATATGATCATTCTCAAAATTAGTTGTGCATATCATCGGCATTTTTGTTTCAATGATTTTTGTCAGAGTTATGGACAAGTAATGTTTATTTTTTATTTTTTGAATTTGTCCGGGCTACTCCTTATTATGGAATTTTAATGTATCTTTGTAGAACTGATCGGTAGCTCAGGTTCTCGTGAATATTAAACGGAATTCTCTTTTGAATGATTTCATGGCCCTTGAATCGTGTTTTGCTCTTCACAGTAGCTTCAACATTCATTTGGCTGTCATAAGGCGACACATGAGATTATTGATCGCTCTTGTCATAGTTACAGATTTTAAACATTACTAAACGTAAACGTATACCGACATGAGCATACTATTTTACATAGGGTCAATGCTTAAAGTAACACTTATAGTCCAATCAATTTGTGAAAAAATACTTCAGAAAATGGGAAAAAGCACCAAACATGGTACAAATGAACTTTGATATATATAAGAAAAATTGAGGATGGGACCCTTTTTTTTAAAATCCAATATGGCGGGATAATCCAAAATGGCCGCCATACGTGTTAAAAATTTTCCAAAACGCCTGTTTTTATTAAGAGAACTTGATAGATAGCTGCGTATTAGGGTATTGTCATCAGAAAAATAGTTGTAATTAGTATTTAAACATTGCTTTGTCTTTTTAAAGCTATGACACTTAGCATTTTTTATTATTTCTGTTTGTCATTAGTTTTCACGACCCTGGAAATCAGATGAAAGAAAATATTGTAGAGGTCTGTCATCGCTGTCTTCTAGAGATGTTAAGACATCATTTTTTACAACATTCCTTTTTGTTTACAATGTTAATTTATCACAAGGAAATACTTATCAAACAGATTAAACAAAAGTATTTAAAAATTCTAGCATAACTCAAGCAAACGGAAATTAAACATCTGCCCGTCAAGTTAGGTGTACGCCTTGCAATTTTATCTTGTTGATCGCTGTGAAAAGAATAAAGCAAAAAACGTGTGAGTAACAGAATTATAAGCTAACATGTGTTAAATTTTAACAGTCATTTGGTATTTAAATTGTCATATCATAAAAATATGAAACTTTATAAAAGTGCATTTTTTAGAATATGTGAAAGAAAACAAATGAAAACCTGGCAGACATATATTATTTACATTTTTCCAAAGCAGATATGTAGATGTTATCTATGTCTCCGGTCAAGTATGCGTTACAGAAAATAAATTCATTCTAAACTATCCCTTTTCTTCATATGAAAGTACATAACTGTCCATTTGTTGTGTAAAAATGGAATGATAATTTTGTAGAAATTTGCAGTTTACAGACTCAGATTTCGACACACCTTTGATGAAATAACTGCTTTTAAATAACACTACACATTGGTTGTCGATTGATTAACTACTAACTTGACGCCAACTTTTAAGACTAATTTAGTTCGAAGTTACACTAACTCATTATTGTAAATAACATAAACATAAAGTTTTTATTTTAGACATTACAAAGTCAACAGCCCTTTATATGAAGACTCGGCATTTCCGCGCTATAATCAGAGCAAGGAAAACGTGCTAGATAATTTGCCATATCTTGGCACTGTTTTTCTTCTGAGGGACTCAAATGTTTGTAAGATTCAAGATACGTCACCAAGTCTAAGGTTTAGAACGAATGCGACATTGAAAATAATATAAGTACGCCTTGCTGCCCATAAAACATCAGATACCTAGGGTATTTCTCTCTTAATTCTGACAGCTCTTGATCATGCTAATGAGAACAGACTTTGTGATTAATTTGTTGTTTGTAATTATTGAGAGTCTCAGTCAGTATTTTGTGCTTGATTTTGTTGTTATAGCTCAGCAGTTTCCAGACTTGACAACAAATTCCAAATTTTCGTTGACATGCTTAAACAAGACAAAAGTAAAAGATATTGATTTTCATCATCAAGATCAAGAACGTGAATTCCAAAATAGGCTATAAAAGCAGGTTTTGTTCCTTTGCGACAGATTTGATCAGACATGTGCAATTCTTTTTATGATATTTGACGTAATTACGAACAATTCAATAGAATGAGAATGATGATTGAGATTAAGTACAGTTTCGAATCTCAAATAGGATAAACAAAATGGTTATCTTCTTTGCAGTTAAAAATGTCCCAAAGAGCAACTTTACAAAGATAAAGAGCAAATATCCTAACTAAGGCTCTTTGCTACCAATCCCAGTTTTGTACTTTTGTTCTACAACAAAAAAAGTGACAATGACCTTGCTCCAAGATATCTAAATAAGCTACCCACACAGCAAGTTTAGAGTCAGTAGGTGAAAGCAAACTCAAATTATTACGTGAAAACTGAGTTTCTTTTTTTAAGCGACAGTGATCTTGACCTTGTGCACATATACCTTGGTAGCAATACAAAGTTGCATCTTGATATTAGCTACCCACATACTAAATTTGATGCCAATAGGCCGAAACAAACTCAAGTGATTGAGCGGAAACTGAATTTCTATTTTTGTGCAACAGTGGCCTTGATCTTAATCTTAATCACAAACACCAAGGTAGCAACCCCAAGATGCCTCTTGATAAAGCTACCCATACACCAAGTTTGTTGTCAATAGGCCAAAGCAAACTCGAACTATTGAGCGAAAACTGAATTTCTATTTTTAGACTTCAGCATAACAATTACGGTTTTCGTTGAAACCTGATTAACAAATTTATATGACTTAACATTTTCAGGACTGCATTCCATGAACGTTGGTCTCTGTTGTGTTCATATTTTGAGATTCCTGTGATTGATTAAGTATGCTAATTCACGGTTGTTATTGTTATCAAATCTCTGTCTAAGGCTGTCAATCATTTCAGGACTATGTTTAACATAAACTTCAGATGAAAGTCTTACCTCAGATAGAATTCCGTCAACTAGAGAGATACTTGATATCATTATAATTCATGAAATAGGACACTCAGCATCACCCCAAGAATTTCAATATGCGTAGAGCTTGAAAAGCGCAAAACTACACACTCTTTAAATATCCTCGTATCTAAGATTTAACATTGAACGTAAATGATGAAATTTAAAAAAAAAACTTTAGGAGGAATGCGCAGGCAAATTAATGATAATACCAAGTTATCTGATGTACTTAAATCACGCTAAATGACATTTGTAAAAGTCCAAGCATGAATTTTGGTATCAATTCTATATATTTTGAGTTTGAAGCGTAAATATAAACGAAATTTAGCCGCCTACAGAATCACCAATGACTGTCAAGTGTATATATTTTGAGGACATTCACAGATTAATGAATGAAAAGTTCAAAACGAAGAAATGAAAATGTTGCCTGTGTCTCCATTTAAAACATGAAAATAAATATTTGGGTTATATCTTTAACGTTGTAATCACTCTCAAACTGAATTATGAATAATCCAACATGAAAGTGGTGTTACATTTAATAGATCTGAGAGCTCAATGGCTACAGGACCGTGTGTGTATTCTGTGCCTAATGAGGGTCACTATATAGCACCTTGGATACATACGCTTTTGTTCTTTCATTTTCAAAGTATCATAAGATTTGTTTAACATGGAATTTAGGTAATATTTGGTGCTAGCAAAATATTGTTGATTGAGCTGAAGGAAATATAAATACTTCCAGCTTTCTTTGCATTTACAGGAATGAAATATGTTAAGACATCCTATTCTGTTTGTAAATTATGTAAATTCAGACATTACAATTTGAATACTTCTTATATGGTAAATTGCTCACAATCTACACATAAAGCATTTAAAGCATTATATCTCATATTTATTTGACATGATCGTCTATTTAGGATTACAACAAATAAATTGAATATGAGAAAATAATAAAAAAAAAAAATATTTCGAAGTACTGAAATAGACTGTTTTGTAATTTCAGTAATTTGTTACCATAGAAAAAGAAACAATTAATAGCATTATAATTGTAAACTAGTATCTTTGATTATTAGTAATACAAATCTCTCATGTTAAGTGTAAACTGGGTTAATTTCCAGTATAATTGTAACTATAAATAGCCTCTACTGGAAAAGAAAGGTGATCATTCCATGTAATGGCGGCCATTTTCAAAAATGGCTGCCATGGCAACCATCTTGGCATATATAAATTAGGTCCCATGCCCAAAATGTTTCTCTTGCCTTTATTAACATCTGTGCCAAGTTTCATGCTTTTCCCATTTTATGAAGTACTTAAGCATATTTTGTTACAAATTGACTGGGCTATTAATGGCCAATAGAAATAGAGAAACGAAACTAAGAATCCCTAAAGAAAGCCCAACACGGCAAAATTGAAAATGTTGCAGGCTCGGTTTGATAGAGCCTGTTCATGGACGGTACTGTCAAGTGCAAACTACCGTCCTCGCCCCTAGGACCGGCTTAAGCAGAATTCAACATTTAACATGAACTGGTACAATTTTGAGTTTTGTAACATCCGCAGATGTGTTCATATGGCGGTTATCATGGAACCTGCAATGTGACACGTAAGTGCCATTCCATGAAAAGCGGCATATGGTCCCCAAGTAAAAATATGCGTGTGCCCTAAACGACAAAACAATGTGCGGTACTAAATAAAATTAAATTTTGAAAGGGGATCAGAGGTTATGAAACATGCATAACACAGATAAGACGTCTAAAGACAAATTCAAAAAGCAGGCCACATTTCCTAAGGGTGATTCAACAGTATTCAAGTGAGGAATACTGGAACCACCAAACAAGAAAATAACCGAATAGAATGATCTAAATTACCACAAGCACAACAATAATGTCGTGCTGAACGATCTTTAAGGATCGGAAATATAACATCTCTGATTGAATGTACGGGGCGACTTTTTACATCCTCCACACGGCACAAACAACGCTGATGTGCAATTGTCCATAGTAAATTTTCTACATGCAAAACATTATTGTTATGTAATGCACATTGTAAGACATTTTCTTGTGCACAAGGGTCATATATATAAGTTATATGCAGATGTCTAAGGCCATATACAAAAAAATATGAGTGATGATCATTTATGTCGTCATAAAATGTTGAAATATAATACAATTGTTTACTATTTTTAGACTTAGAAGTTATGACGGTCGTATTTTGTAAAACACTGGCAACCTTATTCTGTTATATGCTTCAATTTCATTTCCGGATTAAAGATAGATTTCAAACTTACTTGCAGACCATCCTTGCGTCATTAGCGGTACCAGAGTACTTCTGATAGATCCTCAACAACCAACAGAGAAGGTAAATGCTACACTAGACTTGTGTGACCTTGATGAGTATGAGGAAGATGGATTCGATGTAGAAACATTTTGGTTAGCCTTGGAGAATACATTTTGTTTTAGAAAACAAACTTTGCAGAACGACGAAGGTTTTAAAGGTACACTCTTTTGGTTTCCGCTTCGTGAGAAACCGACACGTCTCTCAGAAACGTTGTACAGTGAAACCAAAGTAGAAAATCTGCTTAATTTATTTAAATCTGACGCATCAAACGTTTTGGTTTTTTTGAAAAGCATTGAGCAAATATCATTGAATAAAAGGGACGAGAGCAGAAAAATCAGTGAAACATTCCAACTTAAAATTGAGGATAAAAATGGTTCTGTAAGACTTTCCCGGCAAGCTTTTAAGGACCGAATTCAGAACCAAAATATATCTTCTGAATGTCCAGATATACATTCTACAATACACCTTGTAATATATATGCTGTCTGGTGATAAAGAAGAGCGTCAGGAATGGCTGGTTGTGAACTACTTTGTAAACGAAAGTGCATCAGCTGGTTTCAGAAAATTGATACAAGATAAAAATCTAGGATACAGCCCATATGTTGGCGTTGCAACACCTCTTAAAGAAATTGAAGACGACTTTGAGGGACACGTTTTTTGCTTCCTGCCGTTGCCAAAGGAAGGTGAGCGGTTGACTGGGTTACCTGTGCATGTAAATGGTTTCTTTGCATTGAGCCAAAACAGACACCATATGAAATGGGAGACCGAGGAACAAGAGGGAAAGCCAATAGATGACAAGTCAATTCTTTGGAACAAAGCACTTATCGAGGAAGCCCTTCCAAAAGCATATGAATTACTTGTTTTGGAAATTATAGAAGTTTCAAAGAAGAATTCAAATGATAAAATATCTATAAGGGCCGTATATAATACATTGCCAACGTGTAAATCATCACCAAGAAAGACCCACAAGAGATGGATGGAGTTGGAAAATAAACTTTATGAATATCTTGATAAAAGAGAAATGGTATATGCAATGCACACAAGGGAATGGATCGGCTTAAGAAAAGCTTTCTTTGCAACATTTAGGACATTGTCCAGTAGTGAAGGTGATGTTTCACTGCAGGAATCTGTTGTGAGATGTTTTCAGAAAATAAGTGTCCAGTATGTTGATGTGCCATTTTCCTTGTTTGATACCTTGCAAGCACATTTTCCATACATTAAGGATCAGACTCCAAAAACATTGTGTTTTCAACTGAAACAACAGCAACAATATAAGGAATTGACAGGCATGGACAAAATGAATATCTTAGTTTATTTACTAAAAAATGAGGACACTTTTGCCCATCTTCAAGACCTTGAGTTATTACCGCTGGCTTCTGACAAGTGGGTTGAATTCAGAAAAGGTAGTCAACCCGTTTACCTTTGCTCTGATGCAGAAGTAAAGATGTTTCCAGGCCAAGAGAATAGAATTGTAATGGAATCCTCAAAACTTGGACCACAGCTTACAGAATTCATTGAAAAAATATGTAATTCAGGTAATGTCACGTTTTAATACTCATTATTATTATAACTAACTATAAAGTGCTTTAAAGGTTTGACCACCCTAATGGACCCTATAAGGAACTGAAATAGAAAAAAACAACATAAAGTCTGTTATACACCTTGAAGGACACATTGAGAGCCTTATTTTAAATATCCCTAAAATTTACTCAATTGATAAGCCGTTTTCAAAGATTGCCTTAATTATTTACAGAAGTATATTTGTTTATCTTGTCAAAATTTAAATGGTTTTATCCATGCAGTTTTAAGTAGTCCTCTTCCGGTTTAACCGCAGGGGATTTTAGGTTTACCCTTTGTCCGTCTGTCCGTTCGTACAAACATATAGATACTTGGGGGACCAAAGAGTAAATTTCCATTTAGTTAGCTCATATGTGGATACTTCCTTCTCTTATGTGGCTAAAACACAAAAGAGAGAACAAAACAGTAGCCACTTAAATACAAAACTTTAAGCAAGTTCACCCGTCTGTCCACAAGACTGGATCCCGTTGTAACACAAGCAGTACTCAAAATATTGTTATGAAACTTGAACTATGGGTTAATTGCAGGGTGGAAAATATGCTTTTGTTTTTTGTTTTTTTCCTATGTTGAAAAATTTGGTTGCTATGGCTACAAACAACCTTAAAATATGGCAAACATAGCGCAGAAACTGGATCCTTAAATATTCCTATGTTGAAAATCTCACTCAACGGTTTTCATTTCTTAAAGGATTTTCTCCCTTATTATAATGATATGACAAGGTTTATAAATTTTGCGTCCATATTTCCAGAATTATCTTCTTCCTTAAACTTTGAACTTTCCTTATATATTCTATAACTTGCTTATTTCTTCATGGATTTACCTGAAATTTCAAAAATATGTTAATTATCAATACCTACATCATATGTGGTTAGATTGATAAGTCTAGTGCCTTGGTTTCCATGACTTTTTTAAATTTTGAACTTGAGAAAATTGTTATATTTATATATTTATTTCTTTAATTTTCTTCTTTGTTAATATAAATGGTATCTACTTTCGACTTAAGATAATTGTTCTTTGTCATCAGTCACATCATGTATGAAATTGTTCTTTATTTCAGAGTTATGTCCTCTTTAGTTTTAGACTTTTGCTTTTAAAAGTGTTATATTCTTCTTACAGTAAGGGATGTTTAAAGATATACCCTCTGTCTGTCAGTTCGTTTGTCTTTCTGTCCCTTAAAATGTTTCATTAGATCACTTTTAAAGAACTTAAAAATAAATTTACTTAAAATAGAGAAAAGTTGAAACATTAGTCATACATATTTATCCTGAGAAAATTGCATCTTTTGATTATCTGTTATATAAACATTATTTCCTTATTAGGCAGGGAAACTTAACACATAACTTTGATATAGACAAACAAAGAAGATTGAATTTCTTTCATGTCTTCCAGAATGGCATAATTAAATGAGTATGGCCCTTCAGAATATTGCTGGGGTTCTAACTGGTAGGGGGCTTTTGTATAATGTTTGCAATACTTTGATAATTGCTTGCTTATTATTGTTTAGACTTAATTGGAAATATAAGGTACCAAAGTTGTAAATGAATATAGCATTAGTTTGGCAGTCAGTACCGATAAAAATTATATAAATAAAATTAAACACTTTGTTTTCAAGAAGAGATCTGAATGAAACACAAATAATGATGAAGGAAAAAAGGACAAAATTCGACTCTTCTGGCGTTTGAACCCATAACACAGTTTACAGTATTTGTAGCACATTTGATTACTCTTTAAAGCATTGGTAATTTATGTATTAGGATTGTCATACAATAATAGCTGTTTTGATTTAATTAAGTTCTGTCCCTGGGGGTGTCATGCTTTTTTCTGTATGTATATAGAGTAAACACTTAAAACTGTCCGCTCTGCAAATTTTAGAGCTTAATCAAACATTGTTTCGTGGACCATTTCCTAGTTTGTTCAAGTTAAAGGTCTGTAGTGAAGATATATAACAACTTTTAAACCTTTATATTATTTTATCTTTTATCTCCATTACATCGGATGTTTAATGTTGAATAAATAAGTTGAAACAACAGATATATTCATAGCTTTTATTTTCTTTATAAATTATAGTTTTTAACTTTAAGTTCACAATGACTTTTTATACATCACAGCACCGTAAATCTCAAACCAACCAACAACAATAGAAAAAGTGAACGCCTTTTAAAATTAATTTACTTTCACTGATTATCGCTAAAATTGGCTGTTCATTGGACTGTTTTCATTTTTCATGCTTTGACAAAACTGTTTGGACAAGACCTCTCTAAAGGTTAAACTGACATTGACTTTGAGCTTTAAATGACGACTGTCAAGGTCAAAGTTTTGAATTTGGTTAAGTTGTCAGATTGTGTTATTTATGTACGGATTTGATTCATAAGTTGACGAAACAACACTTGTGACCAAACAGACATGTAGAATAATTTAGATATGACATTGACCTTTACAAAACCTTAATTGATAAATGATTGAATTTTGATTATATTTTCTTAATCTTACTTTTTATTTATGGAAAAAAATCATACTTGGACAAAACAAGCGTGACTAGACAGACCTATTAAAATTAAAAAAATACAAAAACAAAAGCTCTTTTTTGTGCTCCGACTATAGGGGGGGGGGGCATTTCGATTTATCCTTGTCCGTCCGTTCGTCCGTCAGTCTGTCCGTCTGTTCCCTTTTTGTTTTTCAACTTGTGTCGCACGTAACTCAAAAAATATTTGACCTAGAGTCATGAAACCTTCCAGGAATGTTGATCAGCGTGCGAAGTTGTGCACTTGGGTATTTTCATGTGGATATATTTAGTATTTTTAGAGTTATTGCCCTTGAATTAGTAAAAATTTCTAATTTTCAACTTGTGTCTCACAAAACTAAAAAGTATTTAACCTTAAGTCTTGAAACCTTACAAGAATGTTGCTCAGCATGTGTGTTGTACACCTGGATATTTTTGTGTGGATATTTTTAGGATTTTTAGAGTTATTGCCCTTGACTTAGTAAAAGTTTCTAATTTTCAACTTGTGTCGCTCGCAACTAAAAAAGTATTTTACCTAGATTCATGAAACCTTACAAGAATGTTGCTCAGCATGTGTAGTTGTGCACTTGGTTATTTTCGGGTGAATATTTTTAGTATTTTTAGAGTCATTGCCCTTGACTTAGTAAAATTTACAATTTTCAACTTGTGTCGCACGTAACTCAAAACATATTTGACCTAGAGTCATGAAACCTTACTGAAATGTTGATCAGCATGTGTAGTTGTGCATCTGGGTATTTTTGTGTGGATATATTTAGTAATTTTAGAGTAATTTCCCTTGACTTATTAAAAATTTACAACATGTAGCTTGTGTTGCACGTAACTCAAAAAGTTTGTGACCTGTAGGCCTGAAAGTTTACAAGAATGTTGGTCAGCATGTGTACTTTGTGGTTTTCTTGTGGCTTTACCCAGTATTTGTAGTATTTGCCATTTACTTAATAAAAATTTTTTAGTTTTCAACTTGGGCACATGTAGCCAAAAAAAAAATTTGACCTAGAGACATAAGATTGACAAATCGGTGGAGTGTGGGGGCACCCGTGTCCTATGGACACATTTCCTGTTTTTCTTTAATTTTTTTCTTAACGATTTGTTTAAATTGTTTATTTGTTTGTTTTGATAAAAAGTAAAAAAAAGTTTAACGTTGCCCCCGCCCGGCGGAGGTTCTTGTTCTATATAAATTGTTACTCTTTTTATAGCAACCATGCCTTTAATACTAATCAAACGTCAACGTTCCACCATGGGGCCCTGCTTTGGGTCATTTATCTGTTACCAAAGACAGTTCTTGTTTTGTCCAGTAACATTATTTTTAAATCACCAGAGCATTATATTTCGTGTACATTGCTACTCAGATAAGCAATATAGGGTCTTCTTGGCCATAATATATACTGCACCTTTAATCATTAGGTAGTTAGATAGTCCTTTCCAATACTTGCTCATTATGGTTTCGGTCAGTTGAACAATATAGTGACTAGAGCTTAAAATACGAACATGATTTAAATGGCATGCACTTCTCAGTCACTTGTTGAATTTGGATAAAATTATACACAATGATCGCTTTGTGGTCCTTTTCTAATATTCCTGAATTGGTTCATGTCGAATGATTATGATATCTATCAGAGTTATAAATTAGTATAAAATGTTAAAAGACATCTACTCATCACCGAGGTCGTGTACTGAAATAGCAATTTTAGATTAGCTAAACAAAACGGCTACCAGATGTTAAAAAAGATGAACCCTTAAATGTCATCTATACATCTTAAATGCCTTCTCAACAACATGGTTGACTTTGATGAAAATATACAACAATACTAGTATTAATTTGGTAACACTTCACAAAACTGGCTCAACTTAAGTTTATTGCAATTGAAAAGGGAATGTCATTGAATTGACATCTTAACCATGTTGACTATATCCTCTGGTGGGCGATAATGGGCCATCATGGCTCTCTTGTTCAACTATTAATATGTTGTTCGTATCCCAAAGTTTTAAGGGTGAGCGAGGTCTTTGCAACAAAAGAAAGCTTGTATTTCTTTTGGTTACCATGTGCAAATACACGTTAGAAATGAGATTTTTAAATCAAACTTTGCTGGGGATTGATTTGCCCCTAGGTGATTGGTAATTGTCACTGATTTAATTTTGAAATAGCTTGGCACAAATGTCTACCACATCAAGACAATGTGTCGCGTCGTAGAACGACGTTCCTACCTCAAAGGTCAAGGTCACACTAACATTTTGAAGTTTTATATTATCACAATTAGAGTTAATAGGTAAAAACTTTCGTGTCCGAACTGTAAATTTGTCATGCATCGAAAGATTTTACAATAACTTGCCTGGCATAAATGTCTACCACATCAAGACAATATGTCGCGTTGAGATATTTTTGAAGTCTCACTTTATTACAATAACAGTTTATAGTTACTTACATTTGTGTCCGGACTGTTACTTGATTTTAAGGTTACTTGTCATAAATGTCTACCATATCAAGACGAAATGTGGCGTCTATGACCCATATCCCTTCCTCAACGGTCAAGGTCACACTACTTGTGTGATAGAACTCATTATCTCGCGTAGAGTTTGAAGATACAAATTCATGTTTGGACTGAAACTTTGTCATGCATTGAAGGATTTTAAAACAACTTGGCGCAAATGTCTACCACATCAAGACGATGTTTTGCGGCTAAAACTCATGTCCGTTTGTCCTCCTTGCGTCAACACAACAAGCATATCAAGACTGTAACTTTGTCATGCATGGATGGATTTTGAAATAACTGGGCACAAATTTCTACCACATCACTTCGTTGTGTCGCGTACAAGAACCACGTCCCTTCTTCAAGGTCAAGGACACACTTACATTTTGAAAGTCCATGCTATCACAACAACAGACTATAGGTACACACATTTGTGCTCTGACTGTTACTTTTTAATGTATAAAAATATTTTAAAATAACTTATCAGAAATGTCTACTACATAAAGATATATGTCGGGTCCAAGATCCATGTCCTAACCTCCAAGGTCAAAGTCTTACTCATAATTTGAAGGATGTACGCGTTTTTGTCTGGACTGTTACTTTGTTGTTACTGAAGGTTTTTTTTAAATAACTTGGCACATGTGTCCACCGCATCCAGACAATGTGTAGCGGCTAACGCCTATATCACTACCTGAAAGTTAAAGGTCAAAGTTAGAGGTTGAATGTACACATTTGTGTCCAAACTGAAGCTTTGTCATGCATGGAAGGATTTTGAAATTACTGTGCACAAAAGTCTAACACATCAGGTCGACGTGTTGTGTGTGAGATCCATGTTCCTGCCTCCAAGGTCAAGGTCACGTTTAAAATTTGAGTGTACTTATGCTCATAAAAAGAGTTACAATGTATACATTAGTTTCCAAACTGTTACATTGTCATGCATAAAAGATTTTTAAAAAAACATACATGTCTAAAATATCAAGAAAATGTGTCGAATCCAAGAGCCAGTTTCAAAGGTTGTAAGTTTGTAATAAACAGCACTTCATTTCACAATATTAAGCAATTAGTTACTTTCATTATCTTTTTTTCACAATACCTTTCTGCAATGCTGAAGAAACCTTTTCGGGGGCATTTGTCACTTTTGCGTGACAGCTCTTGATAAGAATTGATTCCGGATAAAAACCAGGGTTTAATTCTATATTTAGGAACGATATATTTAATCAAACATGATATAAAGTTAGTTCCTCTGAAGACCTTGCTTGAGAATGCTTTTTGATCCTCTATGGTCTATGTCGATTTCAATGAATATAGACAAAATGTTTTCCGGACACTACAGTCAAGAATAATGTAATCGAATTTAGTATTTATAAAGCTTATTTGTAGACTTAGTTTGGATTGCGTTTAGGACTTCTAGAGTCAATGTCGCTGATGCTTAAAATCAATTACTGTAGTGAATTTTTGGCTATGGATTTAATAAATATTTTAACAAAAGACTGATATAACATTTCCAAATATAAGTCGAGTTCAAATTTTACCTCAGATCACTAAGACGTCACATAAGTGGCGGGTATGAACCACCTTAGCGATACCTGTAGTTGTATTTTTGCGACGGACGCGCCCTCAGGAGCGTTCAGAGCTATGTCATCTACACATGGGATTTCGTCGGATACAATCGCGCAATGTGTCCTCAACCGAAAAACCGCCCACGAAATAGTACATGAATTTGATCCTATGAAACTCCCATACTTCGTCGGGATATCTTAAAAATTTCCATATTTAGCCTTTTCAATTTCAAATTAAGTTATCCAAGTTAAAATATAAACGTATTTGATTGATAAAAACGCTGTAGCCCCGTAGTATTATTGCGCCATTATGCAAATAACTGCTGAAACTATTTACCGCTGTCGAAAGTAGGACAGCAAATTATGCTATAATTAAGGAGTAAGCTCAATATTTCATAGAAATTATAAGCAGGAAATAAATATTTCCCCATTAAACAAAACATTTTTATTAACAGATCAAAAGTTTTTCGTGACTTTAGAATAACTCGCGCATTAATAAAAGAAGAACTCTTTTCGTGACTCATACCGCGGGTTTAGCTGAATATCCAGCAGTTATTAATAAATTAGACTACAGTACAATGGTTAGTGTTATAAATAATGCATGTAACAAGGGAGTTTTTCAACACTTTACCACCATGTAGTCTTTCATGACAATCTTTATTGAAGGAAGTTATAATATGAGTTCTACTTCCGATTCTTGTGTTTTGTTTACATAGTTTTCTAGGTCACGATATGAGTTAACCTGTTTTGAGATTATAATAGCCTTCGACCAGAAGATAACACTATTCTAAAAATAGATTCTGCATCATCTGTGCTGACTTTCAGACGAGTACACATTATACATGTAATAAACCAGCGGATACTTATTTTGTTTACATGCAATACTTTAAGAAATTCTGTAAGCAAACAAGTTGAAAATGGAATTTAGTGTGAAACTGAACACTAAAATCTAAAAAAATACACCATTAATTGCTGATGATTTTAACCAAAAATATTTTTAATGGAACATATCCAAGAGAAATAAAAATACAAATGACTTATATTTTATTGTCTATATGCCCACTATGATATAACACGAAGCAATTTTAATAAAATTCTCTTATGTATTATGTATTATGATTGAAGTTTATTTGCATGTTTTTATTTTAGAAATATTTCGTTGACAGTTTTTTTTCTATTTACATATCATTTCTTAATATAAATCGATAAGGACACTTACAAGTTTGACCAAAGTTTTTGAGGCATAAATTTCATTCTGTATTTAAAAAATTGGACTTGTTCTGATTGAAAGTAGAATATCAGATTAGGACACATAAAATATATTGCTCTACAAATCTCGAACTTGTATGGAACAAATTTTCTCTGTTATATCTTTTGTGTTGTTTTTTTTTCTAAAAAAAAAAGCCTTAATGTCTCTCCGGTTGCATGTCCGTCGCATTCAGTGCTGCAGCACTTTGATTATATTTTAGACCCCTACTGGTTTAATCGGATGGGGACTTTAGGTGTACCCTCCGTCCGTCTGTTAAAAAAAACTGGATTCCACGATAGCGCAAAAGTACTGAAAATATTTTTATCAAACTAAATATATGGAAAGATGGCAGTCTGGAGATTATGCACGCCATCTTCTTTTTTTCCTATGTTGAAATGTTTGGTTCCTATGGCAACAAATAGACTGAAAATATTGCTAATTTAACTCATAAACTGGATCCAGTAATAACGCAAAAAGCACTGAAAATATTTTTATGAATCTTGAAATATTGGAAGATGGCAGTCTTGAAAATATGCACGTCTTTTTCTTTTCTATGTTCAAAAATTATGTTGCTATGGCAACAAATAACTTTAAAATAAGGCAAATGTAACAATAGTTTTGATTACTCAAAAAGCAGTAAAAATATGTTTATGAAACTTAGAATATGGATAGATTGCAGTATGGTGATTATACACATCATCTTAATCTTGATTTTAGGGTGTATATTGAAAGCTGTCCTACTCGCAAAGGGTCAGCAATCTCCTCTAGATTTCTGATTCAAGTTTTTAAGCTTTTCCACTATATGTTCTTTGTATTTTAATGTATTTACTTTAAATTTCAAATACGTTTCTGATCATCAACCACATCATATGTGGCGGCAAGGTTTAAAACCCAAACACAAAAATATCAGAATTACCACCCTTGACATTACAATTTTCATATCAAATTTTGGTTTTTATAACTTATTCATTTCTTAATGTATCTACTTCAAACTTCATATATACATTTCTTTTTATCACTCAAATCATTTGGAAAAGGTTCAGTACTCTAGCTTAACCATACTGAGAAAATTGGATCTTCTAACTTTTTCTTGTAAAAACACAATTTCATTACTTGGCAGGAACACTAAACACATTACTAAGATATAAACCAACTAAGAACTCAAAAAATTTAGGTTCATTTATGTCATTAATTTATTCGATGACATAATTCAACAACCAATGGCCCGTCAGAATGTTGCTGGGGTTCTTACCGTTAGGGGACTTATGGATTGCTTGTAATACTATGATAATATCTTGTTAGAATAAAGACACTGTTTGCTAATTATATGCACCGTAAATATGCATTTTAGAAATCTACCAAATTCAAAGATTAGATGTTAAGTTGGCGAAGATGTTACTTACTGAAACAATACGCTTTCACTTTGCTTCTAATGAAAATATCCGATGGACAAAAACTTCTAGTCTACCAAGTCAATGGCTGGAACACTTATGGCGTGTACTCGTCAAAAAAGACATGGTTAAGTATTTCAAAGATATACCTCTAGTGCCGATCCTGATTCAAGGAAGCTGGACTGATCCAGATGTTATTGAGCTGGTAAGACTGTCAGATTTTATTATCATAAAAGAAATTGAACATACCAAAGAATGCAGTCTAAATGATGGATTAGTTAAATGTCTTAAAGCATTAAATGTAAAGGTACTTCCAAGCCTTCCAGAATGGATACAGTTTGAATCAATTCAAAACTTTGTCAAGCGACCAACAAAAGAAGAAATTATTTATCTGTTTGGTGAAGTGTACAATAAGATTGGAGAAAATGCCGTGTTCAAATTGAACCAAGCTTTCGAAATAGATGGTCAGATAAGAAAAGTATTAATCCAGTTTGCATCTTCCTTGGTCTGTTTAGAACCAGAGCTTGTAGAAATGTTCCGAAAGCTTCACTTGTTTCGAGCTGTGCGTTCATTGAAAGATGAGGGTCAGTATAGTTCAGTTGTTAAAGTTAAGAAAGTTATTCCTGGAAACATCAATTTCCCTGTAGGGGTCGATTTGCCATTCTTGTGTATAAAAGTAGACACTGAAGATCAACATTTGATAAAGTTACTCGACATGGACATTGTAACATTAGAAGCTTTGATTTTGAGTACCATTAAAAAATTACAAGTGTCAAAAAGTAATGATCAGGTTACAACCTTTATGACATTTTTCCTGGTCAATTTTAAATTGTTCGAAAATAAAAGCTCAATATGTAATTATGCTGCAAAGCTACCTTTTCTGACAATGGGCACAATGTTGCACGTACCATCGGATCTATTTGATCCTTCATGTTCATTGCTTCAAAGATTACTTATTGGGGAATCATTATTTCCTGAAAGATCTATTGAGTTTAGTGGTAGAGAGTTAGAAGCACTGAGAAGGCTTGGTCTGAAAAGTAAAGAAAATATAAACGGTAGTATCATGCTGAAAGTTGCAAATTCATTAAAATTGTGGATGGGAGATGCACAAAAGTCTGACGACTTGTCAAAGAAAGCAGATGCATTCATGGAAGTTTTAGTTGACAATCCTAGTTTGTTGGACCATTATTGCAACGGATCAACTACTTTAGGAAATGCTCTGATGTCAATTCAGTGTATTCCAGTGGTTCAAACTCCACCTGAAAATTATCCAAATGGAATGCCGTGGTTTTCTAAAAATGTGAAACTTTGTAAGCCTGGAGAAGCTAAACATAGTAAATTGAGTCTCTTTGCAGGAGCTACAGTACCGATTGTTGATTGTTCATCACAAAAAGTAATAAAATATTTCAAATGGGAAGAATATCCATCATTGGAAATAGTATTGAACCAATTAGCATATATTCGACAGCATTACAAAGTCAACTACAAACCAGATTATGTGAAAGCTACGCAGCAAATCTACAATTACTTACATGAAAGTAAAGGCAAGTATTTAATACTACACGATAAGCTGAAAGATGAAAATATTTTATGGACTGGTAATAGCTTTGTGAAACCAAGCAGCGTAATAATTACGAACCGGGAAGGGGATCTAGATCTAAAACCTTACTTTTATTATGTGCCTGAAGAGTTTTATAACATGAATGAGCTGTTTCTGCAACTTGGGTGTAATTTAGAACAAAACAATGAATTACTACTGACCACATTACAGGATATAAAATTTAAGCACGAGTCTGCCGAGACAATAAACACTTCATCATTATCAAATGACACAGATATTGCTTTAAGGATTTTAAAATGTCTTGCACGAAAACAGAATGATGGAAGTTTTAATGTAGAAGAATCAAAAATGCTTATGTTAGTTGAAAGTCCATTGTCAGAAAGACTTTCCTTACAACCTGTATCTGTCTGCATATTAGATGAAGACCAAGATGAACTTGATGAAGAGGAGGAGAAAAGTCTGTATATTGTTAATCGAATTGTACCAGCAATTGTTGCCAAAGACCTTGGAGTAAAATCTATGAAAAGGAAAACGATAATTGGAGCTACTGAAGAATTCGGGGTAGAAGAATGGGGTGTTCATGAATCACTTACAACCAGGATAAGGACTCTACTGGAAGACGGATATACAGATGGGTTATCTGTTCCAAAAGAACTGGTGCAAAACGCAGATGACTCGGGAGCAACCATTGTTAAGTTCCTATACGATGAAAGGAAGAATGACGATGCAAAGCGGACGGAAAAGTTATTGAGTTCTGACTTAAGGTTTTGCCAAGGCCCTGCTCTTTGGGTGTTTAATGACTCCTTGTTCACAGAGAAGGATCTTCAAAATATCACTAAACTAAACGGAGCTACAAAGGCGGAAAGTAAGGACAAAATCGGTAAATTTGGTTTAGGATTTTGTTCTGTTTACAATTTAACAGATGTCCCTTGCTTTATATCTGGTAAGGATATGATCATTTTTGATCCACACGAGACATATTTAGATGAGGCAAGACAGTCACGCGGAACTGGATTAAGAGTCAGGCTTTCGAAACAAAACATAATTCGGCGCAATGTAGATCAGTTCAAACCATATAAGTCAGTCTTTGGTTGTGATTTACCTGATAAAATCTTTACAGGATACAGCGGTACTTTGTTCAGACTCCCTCTAAGAACTGATTCTCAAGCTGCAAGAAGCGAGATTTGCAGTAAACCATACTCAAAAGATGAAGTGGTAATATTATTAAAGCAATTAATAGAAAACGCTGGAAATATACTACTTTTTACACAAAATGTAAAGGTTTTACAAATATATTATCTGCCAGAAAATGCAACTGACCCTTCTCAAGCAAAACTACTCTTCAGTGTTGAAAAGACAACTACATGTACTCAATATTCCAATGGAACGGATGCTATGCCAGCACAGAGCGTATTAAAACGCATGCCCGCAGTCTTAGAAAATGATGGAAATTTTACTGAAATCCATAATGTTGAAATCAGTCAAAAATTGTATGAAAGTGTACTGCTAAAATTACAAAGCATTGAGCATTTAGGATCATCTGCAACAAACTGGATTGTTTCATGGGCGCTGGGAACAAAAGGGTCATTAATGCTTTCAAAGAGAATGTCTAAAGAAGGGGCAGTTCCTCTTTCAGCTATTGCTATACCACTTACAAATAAAACAGACAATTGTCCTCTTGTGCTTAAAGATGTTCCAATAGGATTTTACAGAGTTGGTCATTTGTTTTGTTTCTTGCCTCTGCCAGTACAAACAGATTTGCATATGCACATAAATGGTTGTTTTAGTGTCAGGTCAGATAGAAGAGGTCTTGCATGGTTTTCAGAAGATGATAAAAGAAGCAGGGATGGCATCACTTGGAACCAGGCATTAATGGAAGACTCTGTTGTTCAGAGTTTTGTTAACCTCTTGTCATATCTGTCTGAAAGAAATCCTAAAGGTTACATTTATCACTCGTTATGGCCATTAAGCGGATGTATTGATGTCAAGGCGTTTTTACACAGCTTTTATAAGAAGCTTATCTCAGATAACATTAAACTTTTCAAAGGAGAACATGTGTGGGTATCATTTGATGAAGTAGTTTATCTTGATCCTGCTATTAGACACACTAAAATGATTGGAGATATTGCTTTTGACTTTCTGGGGTCTGTGCCAATAAGTACTGGTAAGCATATTATTGAAATGCCTGGTCAAATTCTGTCATTACTCCAAAATTGGAACCCTGAACGCAATTCATTTTTCAAAAAATCTATGGTAGATGAAGAAGAACTTATGATTCATTTGTTAAACTCAATAGACTCAGTATTTTGGCACAATAAATTGCCACAAAGGAACCAAATGTTACTGCATGCTATGCAATGTAAAAGTAAAAAGGTAATTCAGAAATTGCAAGCTACAAAATGTATCCCTACTGAACCAAACAATGTGCTTCATAGACCAAATGAATTGGTTTGCCCCAAATCAGAGATTGCAGGAATGTTTAATGTCACTGATGAGAAATTTCCTTTGAAATCAGAAGGCTTTTGTACAAGTAAAACATTGGCCAAACTTAACACGCTAGGCATGAACAATAAGTATCTTACACAAGCCATGCTTTTGCAAAGGTGCAAGACAATACATCAATTAATAACAGATTGTGGCAATTGTGCTCTGGAAAGATCAGTTCAAATAATCAAATACTGTGGAAGATTAGATGTAATTCAAGAACTACAAAACGACATTGCATTCATAAGGGAGCTTCGACAGACTCTTTTGATGCCCGTGCTACACTCACCTCCTAATTGGCGATTCACATGGAAAGCAGATAAACTAGATGATGTCTCAAATTCATATTGCACCGACCATTCAAAACAGAAGGAGAATTCTGTACGATTTGGAAAACCAACATGTTTGTTTCGGGAAAGTCTAAGTACATGTATCGGTAGTGTAGGGCTATTCGTGCATGAAAACCTTTTAAGACGGAAATGTGCTCTGCCCGAAAATTTGTTTGAATTACTAGGTGTGGAAAAACAACCCTCATTAGAATTACTTTTGCAACAGCTAAATCATTTATCAGATGAATACCGTTGTCCAGAGCAGCAGTTAAGAAGTTTAGATAAGATTTCAAAAGCTGTATATGAAGGGCTTGAAAGGCTTATTGTTGATAAATCTGAAATAGAAATTTTAGAAATGGAATGTTTCCAGAAAATAGGTGATAAGCCGCTGATTATAATGGGAAAGGAACTTGTATGTTCTAGTAAGATTGCATTTCAGGTGAAATCGGAGTGTATTCCTGAACTATATTGTTTGCGAGAATTTGACTATAAGAAGAAAAAAGTTTTTAAAGCACTTGGAGTAAAAGACCATTTTACGGTGGAATTTCTTCTATCAGTGTTACAAAGAATATACACAGACTGTTTATACCGCAAATGCATTGATATAGACACTGTGTCATGCTTGCTGGTGAATCTTTGTGAAAGCATGAAAATTGAAAATATACATTATTCAGATTTGAAAGAAACTGAAGCGATAATTGTAGCTCCAGATGTAGATGGATTTTTACGACCAACGCACGAATTGGTCATAGAAGATCCAGCATACAAATCATCTGCTTCTCTTCATATTCTACATGGAAATATACCACCAGATACAGGAAGAGCACTTGGTGTCAAATCTAAACAGCGGAAAATAGTTGAATGTTTTTCTACCGGATTTTTTGAACCATTTGGACAAAACGAAAGTTTGATAACTAGACTTACTGGAATTCTTGAAGACTATCCGTGTGATTCAAGTATCATGAAAGAACTATTACAAAATGCAGATGATGCAAGCGCAACTGAAATATTCTTTATAAAGAACTATGTTACCTACGATAATGAAAAGATATTTGGAAAAGAAGATCTTCAAGGACCTTCGCTTTGTGTATTTAACAACAGTTATTTCACAGAAGATGACTTTAATGGTATTAGAAATCTTGGAGTAGGTAGTAAGCGTGAAGATCCATCCAAAACAGGTCAGTATGGCATTGGATTTAACGCTGTATATCACTTAACAGATACACCATCTTTTCTCACTAAAGGACCAGGGTTAGGAAAAGATGGCCAAATTTGTATATTTGATCCTATGCTGTCTTGTTTAGAAGGTCATGCTACATCTGAAAACCCAGGAATAAAATGTGATGCTTATTTTATGAAAGAATCTTTTCCCAATATGCTTCTTGGATATCCAGTTATCCCGAGTATTGAGGCATCTGGACAGGGTACTATATTTAGACTTCCATTACGAAGATATAGGTCTCCTATCAGTAGCAATGTAATGACACCTGATAAAATGGATAAAGTGATTGAGTCCTTTAAGAAAGACATGTTTGAATCTCTTCTGTTTTTGAAGAACATTAAATGCATAAAAGTTTTTAATGTAAGCAATGGTGATTTATTTGAAGAATTTTCAGTGGAAAGAAAACTATCTGAAGAAGATGATATATGTCGTAAAAAATATTTTTCAAGTATTAAAGAAGTTGCTAAAGGTAACCTCCATGTCCCTCATCAAAATTTGTGCATGCAGCCTATAGAGACATTTTATAAGATCAACATTGAAGACAACACTGGCCATAATGAAAACTGGTTAATTGTTAATAGCTTTGGAATTGAACAAACTTGTGAAAAAAAATCTAGTGTTATGTTAGCATTAAAGGCAAAGGCGATTGGTCTAACACCTGTGACTGCTATAGCTTTGCCTTGGCCTGAAAATGAAACACATACTTCCCTTCCTGCCACAGATAAAATGAGAAAAATAATGGAGAAGAAAATCACAGGAAAAGCTTTCTGTTTTCTTCCCCTTCCTATAACAACAGGATTACCATTTCACGTAAATGGGCATTTTGCCTTAGATAAAGCTAGAACAAAGCTATGGAGTGAAGGAGATCGAAAGTCGTGGAATGATTTTGTATTAGCTGAACTATTAAGTCGGACATGCATAACAGCTTTACAGTATTTGAAGGAAAACTTTGTCTGTAGACATTCTACTGAAATATTTGATAAAATTCTAATAGCCCAGACCCTTGAAAGATATCACGAATACTTTCCAAAGTGGGAAAAGAGTTCTGACAATAACTGGAAATTGTTTGTAAGTAACTTTTATAAAATTGTTATTGAAGAGGAAGTCAATATATTTCCATCGACTGGAAGAACATACATTGACAACAGTCAACCGGAAGAAAATACCCATGAAATAGGTTTGGATTGGGTGTCTCTTTCTAAATCAGATGATGATTTCGATGGCACTTTTAATGTTGTATCAAAACATGTTACATTTAGCCATCCAATCTTTACAGACAAAGATGCACATTCCGTCCTATACACGTTAAGAACAATTGGGATGAAAGTCATTGAAACACCTCATTGGGTTAGCAAATCTATAAGTCAGTCTGGTATTAAATATATTCCATCATGCACACCCAAATCAGTGATCAAATTTTTAAAAACATTTGATGACGAAAATGCAGCACATTGTCGTATTGGGAAAATGAACAGTCGGTTAGAAGAAACAATGATATCAAATGTCGAGGCCCTTCAGAGCTTGTTGAATTACATAATTCGCGATGAAAATTTTACTGACAAAATTGATGGTTTGCCGCTATGTCTCGCAAACAATGGTTTGTTAAAGGCCTTCAGCAAACATGCCCCATTGTTTTGTTCAGATATGTGTGATATTTTGATCGGATCAGCTGACCAGTTTGTACATAGCGAAATCATTTATATGGTAAATCGGAATGAATACCATACATCAAAAGTTATTAAAACATTTGAAGTAGACAATTTACTTTCAATACTCGCTGACACATTTGATCCAGCAGATTTTGCTTCCGGAATGTGTGTTGATTGGAATAAAGATGCTGGTGTTCCAATAAAACCAAATATTATTGAAAGAATATTGTTTTTTATTTACAGTAAATCAGTCAAAATAAATAATACCACAATGCATGAAAGTTTAGACGAGAATCTGTTTCAAAGAAATATTTGCATGTTCAACGATTGGTCTTTCCTGCCAACATTTCACTATGTTGGGTCCGCAAAAGTATTTCAGCTTGTCCCTTTTTGCAACTCAAATCGTTTATATAACAAAAGTTACTTGCCCCAACATGACACTTTAAATAAGGTTGCGAAAAAATTGAATGTGCCATGTCTAGATGAATCATGTTTTTTGAAACCTGATAAAAGAATAGCCTCTCACTTACGCAGGATGCTGCCATCATATGAGCGACCAGTGCAGTTACTTGAATGTTTATCTTATTACAGACCCAAATTTCAAATGAGCAAAATAACACATGATGAATGTGTTTCAGTTCTCAACCTTTTTGATGGTGCAATAGATCAGATGAAAAAGAATTGTGATGCTCTTACTTTGCAAAATATGTTTAAAAAACTTCCACTATTTGTTTCTCACCAGAAAGAAATTGTGAGTATAGACAATTTTGTTCATGTTATTGTGTTGCTAACTGGCATACCGTCTGATGGTATAAATGATTGGGCGCAAAACACTGGAATATTACTTCTAAAAGACACTGAAAAACTTCGAAATTTATACAAGTTTTTAAATTTTCCTACGAAGTCTGTAATTGAAGTGTACATTGAAAAGATATTGCCCACATTTGATCTCGTTCCAAGAAGTGTATGGAAAGTACATATTGAATATATAAAGAATACACTCTTAATGAGATCACTTGGTCAAAAGTTTGATCACCATCAGTTAAATGTCATTCAACAACTAAAAGCCATTCCTTTTATCCATGTCATTGGGAAGGATAAACGAGTGGACCAACTATATGACTGTTGTCACCCCGTCTTTTCTTGCATGCTGTCTGAAGATTATTTTCTCCCAAAGGAATATAGAGGGCACGAGTGGCGCGAGTTTTTAGAAATTCTAGGGATGATAATGAAACCTACTGAGAAAATGCTGATTGACTTTGCACAGAGCCTTGAAGCTAAGATCAACAATCGCATAAATGAAGAAACTAAAAAACAGTCTGGTGCTCTTGTCGATTGTCTTTTTAATGGAGATTGGTCAGAGCAGACACTTGCGAAAATGAAAAATATACGCTTTGTTGTGCCTCGAAAAGTTGATGAGAAAAGGACATTTCTTGCAAAACAGCCAGGTAATGCAGAGTTGTTAATATGTTTTGCCGGGGCAGTATCAGACAAACATATGGATCTCTGCTGGTCAAGTCAAAATCTCATTTTCTACTTACCATTTTCTGAGAACATGAGAATGTTTCTTGGAATATATGAATATCCACCAATGGATCGGATTGTTCAACATTGTCAGAACGTGACTGAAGTCTTCAAAAGAGAACTTGAAAAGAACAATATTTCAAGTTTACCTTTTTTTGTGAAATCTCAAATGGAACTGCTTTATTCAGCGTTTCAGAAGTCCTATGAGGAATCAATGCAACAAAAATTTAAAGTTACTCCGATCGTTTTCCATCCAGAAGATAATAAAATGTTACTGGTTCGCCAAGTGGTTGTCAACCTTAACGAAGTTGATGAAATAAGACCATATTTGTACAAGCTTCCAAACTGTTTCGGGCCTTATGAAAATTTGTTTCAGAAATTGGGTTCACACAGAGTCCCACTGTGTTCCGATTACTCAGCAGTTTTAGCAGAGATAAAACAACAGTACAAGGAAAAACCCCTTCCTTATAATACATTACTCTTTGTGCAGAAAGCTCTTGAAAATATTATTAAATTGATAGACATGGAAAAAGAGCCTTTGCAGAATGTTGCACAAGTATTCATTCCTGATCGAAATAAAGTTCTCGTTCCATCAAAAAAATTGACAGTTTCAAACAACAATGAAATCGAGAAACGACTTGAAGGAAAGATAGATATAGATTTCTTCATAGGATTTAAGGAATTGAAAATAGACTGTGTTAGGGATCCTGCTTTACCATTCGAACAATGGCCTAAACTATTGCAGCCAGATGTTTTGACAAGAGAAATTGTTGAAGAAATTTCAACTGACAATATTCAAGAGGAAGACTGTATAGAAGCACAACGAATAGAATATTCTCTTCGTTCTGCCCCTGTTGTTGAAGGGATTATACGCCTAGTCAAGCATCAGTTTAAATGTGATGGCGAAAGCTTTCATTACAGTATTGAAAATGCAATCATGCAGCGCCTAAGAAGCGTAAAAGTAACAAAAGTATCAGGACTGAAAACATTCCTGAAATATAAAGGGCAAAAAATAGAAGGGACAGAATTGAATGCGTCCTGTTTCATAAAATCTTTTGAAAATGATACAGCAGATGAAGTAAATTTCACAGGGTATGAACTGTGCTTCCAAAAAGAAGCAGGTGAACAGACTTTGACTGACTTAATAAATGATAATCATGGTCTCTTGACATTGGTTGACTTATGTACTGAGAACAGGCTTGGTAAACGAATGACTATCTGTCTGTCGCAAATTCTTCGATTATTAGAAAATTCATCCGAAATAAGTCGGAGGCTTGATAATTTACAAATCGATGCCTACGACCTCCCGGCATCGTGGAATGTTTCGATTTTCCCTCGACCTGGAACTTATGTGGAAGAGAAATTCCACGCTTTCTTGGAACAAAGCATTTCTCCATTTAAGGTATATGAATATATGTATGTTGCACTTGAAGTTGAAGACTCGACCGATTTAACTGATCCAGTTTACATGTATGCTGACATTTGGAAAGAAAACAAAAGGTTTCACGGGGCTTCTGTTCTCGATATTACATACGATGTTAACGTTGGTCGTAAAGATGAGATAATTACTGTCCCTATATACCGCTTGTATAGATTCAAACCAAAAGAACAGGAGATTGTTCAAGATTTAGTTGCATATGACATTGAGCCAATTGGTTCAATTCCTATTGACGAAAACTTTCGTCGTGTAAGACAAATGCTAGAAGATGCCTGGAAATTGGATGAAACTGGGCGAAAAGCGGTTATCCGTCGTTTGTGGATGCAGTGGCATCCGGACAGAAACAGAGACAACCGAGAATACGCCGGGCGTGTGTTTAATTACATCAATGAAATAGTGCTAAAATTGGAGAAGAAAGAGATTATTGATGATGAAATTACAAGTGACACTGGAAGAATGCCCCCTGACATGTCGCGTTCAACATTTGGATCAGCAAGTGATGCTGTGTATAGAAGAGGGTGTACACTTGCAGCACACTTTCACGATAACAGAGACGATTATAATAGATCTACACGTACCGGCAATTTTGCCCATCACAGAGCAGAGGAAGCAATTGTACGGCATGTTGGAGAAGCAAAACGCTGGCACAGACAAGCTGTTCAGGACTATAAAGCTGCCATAAGTAACATTACAACAGGAGCTGATGACTTAAGCTTTAACTGGGTGTGCTATAAGTGTCATCAGGTATGTTATTCCTAAACAAACTTGTAGTAGAATAAATCGTTGAAATAAATTTGCCTTTAAAAATGAATTTACTTTTTTACAGAGTAGGGAATAAATGCAAATACTTATTCTAATGTGCAAATCAATTTTACTGATTACCATTTCTGCTATTTCTGTTTCTCAAGTCATTAAGAAAAAAATCTCAATCACTTTTATCTGTACGTACATACTGATAGTTGTTTGAAATGTGTGCTTATTTATTTGAAGGCCGCTGAAAAGGCTTTAAAGGCAGCCTGGTTTGCCAAAAATGCAAATATGGCTCGGCGAAAAGATCATTCATTGGGAAATATTGCCAATGGTCTTGATGATGGATTACTATTTACCGAGGTAAATTAAGATATTTTAACAGTTTCATAAGAAATATGGTTTGCCTTAAATCACACCTGTAATCAAGTTTTGTGAGAAAGGAGCGCGCTACCTTCATAACAACTCTTGTTAAAAGATTAAGCATTTTGCCAATAAATACATATACTTTCAACTAAACACCTTTTCTTATCCTAGTAAGATCTGAAAGATAAAACAATAATGTTCAAAGAAATAAAAAAAAAGAAAAGCACGTTGACTGCAGCGGGATTTGAACAACAGTCGTTAAATTCCATGCAAATAACATTAATGCTAGCCTTTTTGAATAGTCAATTTTTAATTTTGAGATAATGCTTTAGGAGTTATCTACCTATATGTAAAATGATGTAGAGATTTTAATGGCATTAATTGAGACATTTAATGTGATATCTTATTTGTTTACATTCCGCCAACCTACATCAAAAATATGCTATCAAACCCTTGGCATGATAATTTTACAAGTGCACATAGATAGTGACAACATAGTTATTTACTTTTTTTGTTATCATCACAATTCCTTATTCGTTTAGGCTACGTCCTTGGAGCGTATTACTGGAGACTATTCTTACATGCGGTATCCAGATGCTGTTTTGGGACGACATCAAATACCATCTGAAATGTTTGATTGTAAAAAGGCAGAGAAAGCTGTTGAGATCACAAAGTGCATACTTGACACAATAGCCGAGTTAATTGACTGAATATGCTGTTAAAAGGTGGCTATAAATGTATGTCTGTTAAACCACATCGAATGAAAATGGAAAATGTACTTCGTTATCTAAATGAAAAAAAGCAATCACTTTTGCTGTAACATATATTATTATTTCTTTACAGTCTTTCGTTATTAACATCATGTTTATAATGTAAACATTTCATTTCATTTAATTATGAGATATTTTAAGATGGATGTGTCAAGTTCTGTCTTATTGAATTGAACTAGAGTTGACTTTAGATTGACTGTACATATAGTATACATTGCTTTTCTGAAAGTCTTGTTTTTTGCTGTTTAAAAAGTGTTGTGTTGTGTGAATATTGACATTTGACATTTCACACATAATATGTGTATTTCTTGATAAAGTATGAAACCTAATCGTATGGAAACCGGCAAAGAACTTGATTATCTAGATGATGAAAAAGAGAGCAATCAATTTTGTTGTAATAGTTTACAAGTACATTTGTATATTTTGTAAAAGATAAAACAATGTGTTTTTGATAGTTTTATCTTGTTTATATAGTAGACTAATTATCTTATTTTATTTTTGTTATAAATTATGTGTTTCGTTATGAATATGGCAAGTACTGTCTTTTAATTTCTTGCTGAATTAAAATGACTTTGAAATTGCTTTTTATACAGAAAAAATTTTGTTGTTGACATTTTCTATTTGATATACGTTTGAATACCAAGATGTTTGATAGTTATTTATTGCTCACCTTAAACGGTTGTTTACATTTATTTACCAGGCTGCTTGATGCATGTTTTATTGCAAACAACCATTTATGCACGGCCATAAAACCATTCAGACATCTTTATAACGAATTGTGTATACAACATATTTTCTTAAATTGAGAAAATACGGAAATTACTTCATTTTCAATTGACAGTTGCTGTGTTGTAGATTACATTAAGGTTACGAGCGACGTAACAAACGTACACTATAAAAATTGTTCTACTACATTTCTTCATCAGCATATTGTTTCACGTGTAGATAAACATTTTACTTAAACATTTTCTCAGTCAAACATGTGAAGACGTCTGATTAGATCAAATCAAGTCTTCAATTTTTACTTTGTCACTTGATATCATTGATCTCTCGAGGGATGCCTTTATCAGATTACTGTACTTAAAGCAGCGTTGATATATTTGACTTTGGCTGTTTGTAAAGATTCTTTTCATGCTACATCACTCATTGTTTTGATATTGATGTGTTATATTTTATTAAGTGTTAATATAAAGAAGTGCTTTTTGTTTGTCATTATGACACCATAAATGTCTTACATCACATTGGTAGTTGCAAGTTTTTTTTATTTGTTTATGAAACCTTATATTTCATTACCAGAATATGGCGGAATGGCTTTCCATTTTAGGGAAAGTTTAGTCAATTTTGAACATTATGTAGATAAATATCATATCAATATCACTCGACAGGTTTTTGGTCATTACCAAGCTGTATAGTATTATTGTTCTCATTATAAACATGCTTCGCACGAGATGTTTTTATTGCTATTTGTTCTTCGTTGAGCCTTCAGATATATTGTAGATATATTGGCTTTAACACTTTGATAATACTGATGATACATAATAAATAAATGTTTTTTTGTAAAATTCAGCATATTACATAGCATAATATTGATGCATTTTCTATATATATACATTTTGTGTGCTTACATGTAAACGCGATAAGAGTTGTCTTTAGGTTGTATTTAAGGTGACCTATTGGACTATTTTTTATCCAAGGGAAGTTAAAATTGGTTAAAAGTAAGCTGATTGGTGTTTCTATTTACTGACCACTTCATACATTCAGCAGATGATTTTTTACCATTTTGAAGACAACCATTTATTTTGTAATTATATCCTCTGTAAGTTATATATTTATACTGTGTATCTTTGTAGTGTTTTTCCTTCATGTGTATACATTGTATATTAAATAATTTTCATTTTTAGAAGAAATTCATATTTGAGTTGATATAGCTGTACTTTTATATTCTAAAATTGACTAAAACATGTTAAAAGTACAGGAATATTGTTTAAATTGTTCTTATTAAGGCATTTTTCTGAAGAAAGTATAGATTTGGAAAAATGCACCTATATTACTGCACAAAAGGTAATGATTTGTTTTATCTTTCTTTGTTGTTTGTGAATATACATGCATATGGTTTAATTGATTAGTCCTCTAACAATGGTGGTATTGATAGTCAAGTACTTGTTTTTCTTTGCGTTGAGAAAAGGCATTTGGCTTTACTGTATAGTTTTTATTGACTTGAATGTTTCAACTTAAATGTACATTATATGTATTATTGATTTTCTTTAATATTTATTCTTTTGCATATATCGATTATGTACAATTTTGTTTTGAACACTACAGTTAGGCCAATTATCTTCATCAATTACTTTCATGCGCATTTTTAACGCTTAAGTTCTATTTTTGTAAATAAATTGAACTTTGAATTCCAAGGAAAACATTGAAGCAAACGATAAAATTATTAGCCCTGTGCCTTTGTCTACACCAGTATCATGTATTGGGAAATATAATTGTACAGCCATAGTTTCATTACACCCATTAAAGTGTTTTTATTGTCAAATACACTTGTAGGCCAGAGTTTATGATGGCTGTCATATTCTGACACAAGTATGTCTCCTATTATTGAGAATTTATATAAAAGTTTTCATATCAATTGATATTTTTACTAAACAAATTGATTAGAATCTATGATTGTTATTTTTCTGACCATCATAAACACTCATTTCGAAAAGAAAACATTCTACTCTGAAATGTTTATTGACAAAATTTACTCATTACTCATCTTGAAATTTTGAAGCACCTATCCTTTTCAATACACATTTAAAATATTGTCTTAAAACGTCTTTATTAATTAAATGTGTATGTAAGACATGAGTTCATTACTCTAAATATATTTTCTTGTATACTATGTACAAATATTTTATATGTATTATGTGTAGTATTTTATTATAATTATGTTCAATAACAAATGATACGTTTGTTATAAAATCTAGAAATAAGCAATTGCTACTAATGCAATTAAAGCTAAAAGAAGATGCAATTACCGCTTTCAGTATGTCAAATGTGATTAAACAAAACTTCAAGTATATTCTAACAAACGTATATCATTTCCTTGTAGGAGGTACATTATTTCCTTGTAGAAGGTACATTATTTCCTGACAATTTATGACTTAGTTTTGTGACACCTTTAATCTTTGTTTTATTAACATGTTGTTAACACTGGCATATCCTTTTTTATTTCTTCAAGATAAACGTAGTTTATATTCAAAGTCGAGTTCTTTGAAAATTGTAAATGATTTATTTTCTTTGCCTGAATTATTCTAAATCAATGTTGTTATATCAAGGGATACACTTTATTATATCATAATACAATAAAGGCGAGCCCTTTCATAAGTCAAATGATATGTTTGTATTAAGTTTATAATTTGTATCTATTATAATTGTTTCTAAACGAGGGGTAAACTTTATTTAAAAAGGCGAATCCTTAAAAATTGTATTTAACTAATGTCTATGCGGAGGGATACACTTGATTACGATATAACATAATCACGGCGAGCCCTTTCGTCCATCGAAATGTCGTTTTGATTATAATAATTCATTTAAATTGATATATTTTCAAGGGATATACTTTAATTGTTTTAATGCGAATCATTTAACATTATGACATGCTTTGTCATTCAAGTTATTAATTTTATTTCAAGGGATATACTTTTAAATAATCATTTAAAAGGCCGACCCATGAAACAAAATATCACAATAATTATTTAGTTGAATTCACAATGTCTTTAAAATACATACAGATGTAATTAACTTCCCATTCTGAAACTTAGTTACTTTTGTGTTGTTTAGAATCTATGACAATATTACAAAATTAAAAGTTTGACAAAAGTAAGCTATGTGTTTATTTGTTATATCCATATATATACATGTCTGGCCACCTACAACACTTAATCATATAAGTGAGATGTCTTTGTACCATTGCCAGATTTGGTGTAGACAGCTTGCGAAGTATGTTTTAAACTCGCCTTTTTCGAAGAAAAAAGTTATTGCTACAGCCACATTATCGTTGACGTTACCATTGCCGATGGCGTCCAAAATTTTAACCTTTGTCATTTTTATGCCACCGTACCGATTCATTTGTGTGTGTGTGTGTTATATTATGTAGTAAACTAATTTTAACCAAACTTACAAGGATTGTTTCTTGGGTGAAGGACTTTCAAAGTTGTTCAAAGACTTTGATTCCATGCAGAAATCTGGTTACCATGGTAACCAAAAGGAATTATAAGAATAAATTTAAAACAATTCTTCTAAAGACAGACCCACAAGGCCTAGAGAATAGATACTGTGCATAAGGCGTTGTCTGGAAGACTATTAAGTCTATTCAAATTATAGCTCTGGGGTCAAAATTGCCCGCCCGGTGGTCATTACTTTTCTCATTTTTTTCATATATAGTAAAAGCTTAAAAGATATTCTTGTTTTAAGGTACAAGGCTTAGATCTTTGATACTTGGTATATGATATAATCTATAGGTCCTCTATCAAAGTTGTTCAAAATGCTGGTGGGATTTACATGCCGCTATTTTATTCTTGGAGTACATACGGGTAGACATGTTTTTGCGACAAAAACCCTTTCTTGTCTTCTTCTCTCTAACCGGCTATAATTTAATTATTAATGAATGGAATTGGTATTTAGACACAATATTGTCCAGCTTTCGTAGGCCAAACTGCTGGCAGGATTTCGTCATTACTTCCCAGGAGTGATCAGTACAATACATATTTGTATATATCGCGGGCACGTTCTGCTTCGCTGTACAAAGTGGCTGACAGAGCTTAACATAGAAACATCTTGTTCCACTTTCAAAGGTCAAACTGCTGGCGGGATTTTATTGAATCTCCTCAGGAGTAATCAGTACCATCCCCATTTGTGCGTATCGCTTGTTTGTTCAGTTCTGCTGCATAAAATGGCTGTGGCAAAAATCTACTTTCACAGTTCAAACAGCTGTTGGGATTTCGACATAACTTCACAAGAGTGATCAGTACCATACCTGCTTGTTTATATCGCAGGCACGTTCTGCTTTGCTGCACAATGGCCATGAGGGCTTACAATAGACTATTTTCCCCCAAAATTCACTATGAAGCTGCATGCGGGATTTGATGAAACGTTACTAAATTGATCAGACCATGCCAAGTTGTGCATACCATTGGCATGTCCTTCTAGCTTTACATAATGACTGCCAGAGCTTAAATAGAAAAATATTGTCCAGAGTTCAGAAGTGAGCAATACCAAAAAGTTCGGAGCGTAACGTCTACATGCATAATGAGGCGGAGTTTTCCATAGTGAGGCGGAGTGTCGCGCGAAAATTCAAGTGCTTGTGGCAAAGGTCAAGGTCTTACTTCAGTGTCAAATGTCACAAATAACAAGATAGAACATTTATATGTGAGTATATTTTTTATATAATTACATGGATTAATTTTAATATTATTTAGAACAAATACTCTCTATGGTGAGTTTAGATGTATTGTGCAAAATGAAGATCAAAGTCCCAAGACGTCAAATGTTAAATAAAAATATCAAAATTTGTTTGTCCGCACTGTATCTTGTTTTGAAGTATTTTGCTTAGTAATAAGAGGTTTTTTGAGCCCGCTTGCGCTGAGCTCGACATAGTTGACACAATGGCTGTTCCGTGTTTACGTGTGCTCTCGTGCGTCCAAACTTGTCCATGTCTTAACTTCTTCGAGCACGGAGTAATTGTCATATAACATTGAGCTTTTAGGCACAAATCTTCATTATGAGATTTCGTGTGATGCACATGAACCATTTCACCGGATCAGACACAAAGATCACCTAAGCTGATGCAATATCAATATTTTTTAACGTGGATATAAAGGGGATGTGTTTCGCACATCTCACCTATGTAAACATCTTTCTCCTTCATCTGAAGCTTATAGGGGGGGCTAGACATTCAGCCCATGGGCATGTCTTGTATCACCGTTCAATGGATTATGAAATTACTTGGCACAAATGTTCACAGTAATGGGACGACATGTCATGCGTTGCATCCGGGCCTCTACATTCAAAGTCACGGTCACATTTTGGGGTCAAACTATTACATTTCTGTTAAAGGGTATATTTTTTTCAAAAATTTTACTTCAATTTATCAAAATTTGTATTAAAGAATTTTGAAATTTCTTGGCACAAATATTCACGATAGTAACACGATGTTTCATGAGCAATAGCCGGATCCCTACCTTTAAGACCAAGGCTTAACATGGTCTTTCCAGTCCTTAATATCTTTATCTTTCTAAGGATTTTGAAATTGCTTGTTCAATGGATTTGAAATTACCTGGCACAAAACCTCAAAGGACGAGGCCTTACTTTGAGGTCAAAGCATAGCAAGGCCCAAGGAAATATAATGTCATTCGAGAAGCGCCCACATACCTTGATTGATGAAAAATTACGAACCGGACACGAAATATACCGTGTAACATAGCAAGCCCTGTATTGATTTTGTATTGGGAACGTTTTGTGGTTTTGAAATAATGATCAAAACTATACAAAAAATTTCTGTTGACATAAGCACTGGAGTTTTTTTTATTCCATTTCTGTAATGAATTTATTGTTGGTAACGGAAAATAGAATAGAAGGCCCATGTGCGTAACCATACTTTTGTCTAACAAATCCTTCGTTCAATAGGGTTTGTCACACACATTTCACAATCTTAAGTATGAAGCTTTATCTAGAACTAAGTTATTTTCCACACATACATCACTATCATTTTTAAGGAAGAAGAAAACAAAAACAAACAAGAAACATAAACATGCCGGTTCAGTCTTATAAAGACCTAATGTAATTCATTGTATCAGAGCAGGCAAGGCGTTTTTCCAAATCAGGTCATAACTGTCCTAAAGTTTCCGTGTGGCTTTTTTCGAATTCTTTAACAATACGTATCTTTATAAGTATGTTATAGTTAATTGTTCATGAAATGAAACTGCGTTTCACTTAACTGGTAACTAATTGCTTATGATCAGAGAACAGACATCATTTGGGTTTTCGTAAGGAACTAAAACTTGCGTACAGTTAGTTTATCGAAACAAAATATCATGCGTTTATTATGAAATACGAAAATTTTTGGGATATATACAAATGATTTGATAATTTTATTCTTGCAATTAGTTTTGCTATTAATAATTAACATGTGGGTATTATAACTAATCAAATATCTGTTTCAGTACATCTGTAATTGTATTCCTTTTAACATGTATGTCAGGTTGCCGGTGGCATTTGAAGTATCAAATACCTCAATTATTTCTCCTTACTATGAAATATACCATCATACTCAATTATATCGTTTTGAAATGATAGCCGCTATTGATACATACACACGAGTAATCTTAATGTTTTTCTACAACCAATTTATTTGTTGCATGTGTAGATCTAGTATTCTCTGAAAGTCAAGATCCGTATCTTAGATTTTTGAAAAAATAATTGTGTGTGCTTCATGTAAAATTTCCTCAGGAGAGATTTTGTTAACTCTATTACAAATTCTTCTTGTTTAAGTATTATTTCATTTGAACTTGGACAAGGAAACATACATAACAAA